ATTCTGACAATAAATGTTATATTGTACTCCTTTTGTTCATCTGTACAAAAGACCATCTCTCCCATGCCAAGCGTGTTTTTCCCTCTCCACTCTTCTCCTAGCTAATCGTTAGCCACTTGTGTACCGTAGCCTCGACATTATTTCGAATATCACAAAGCTAGCGATAAATATACTTCTTCATCCAGAATAATCTTTTTCTTTGATTTCTGGGTTATCGGGATTTACATTAGTAATCCCGCGAAGGGATATATTAGTTTCATTTACAATAATTCCTTGTTTAATTTTATCCTACTTATTGCCTCTTAACCTCTAATAACTGCTTTTTATACGTTGATGTATCTGTTCTAAATTTAATCCTGAAAGATCATGATCTATCATTAAACTTTTGTTTCCTTGACATCACAGATAAACTGATCTGTTTTATGAAGTCGCTCAGTAGGAACACAATGAGGATTCTGAACTTGTTACCTTTAAGCTGAATCATACAGCCTTCCCTGTTGCATGTATTTAGATCTAAAATAATGATAACATTTTCTTAAATCTGTAACTTGGTTCATGAGAAAGTAGAGGTCCTCAATAGGGAAGCTAAAATTTCTGTTAATCTCTGAAACGGTAAAGTATGCTTAGTATGATGTGTAGTGCGAAACCAAATCTAGTTTAATAATATATCATTTACTAATGTCTGGTTACATGATATGCGAAAAGTTCGTCAAAGTATTTTACAGAGGTAGTGAAATAACTAGCACTTACAACCTACCTACGTTGCGCAAATGTATTCCGTTGTTCGTTTTTGCAATGAAGTCTCTATAAGTAAACTCAATTTTTAAAGTCATTTTTGTGAACTCTCTCTATAATCCGTAAATTTTTACCTCAACGAATGTACGAAAGCTAATGAATAAAGATTGCCCTTCTTGCATTGGAAGAACTCAGACTTTTGAAGGTAATGGCCAAGGTTTACTTTCATGAAAACTAATTATACAATACGTAAAATTACGTGATTTTCAACATATTGACGTTAAGTGTTTGGAAAAACTTTAGGTTGTTGGACTATCTGGAACCAAGGTCTAAGACATTATCCCTTTTGGATATTGACTAAACGTCCACCTCAAGATGAAATCTCGGGTTGCTTCGTCGGACACCGATCCAGAAGCACTCGTTAATACTAAAATGAAGTAAGTACGCTCCATAGCAAATTGCCACTTCGGCTAATTCATTTTGAATAAAGCTGGCAAAGTTGTACATTTCATATTCGTGGAGTGTGTAGACTATTCCAAAGTTTTGCGCATATATGACAGTCTTGCCAAAGTCGAAGTAGCTACAAATGCTGTCAGGTAATAGTAAGAATAAAAGAGGGTCTAATAAATTCATTTGTATGGTCCCACTAGTTACCCTATTAGGTTATAATGTATTTGAGTTAAAGTAAGAAGCTATATTCTTGTAAATTGATGCCGGAACTTCACGTTTGTGAAAAACATTATTAATCATTTTATACATCAAATGCCAACCTCCCATTCATACTATAAGTGCCTCAGTAATCATGTTTCCAGTTATCTTGGCGAAATTGTAAAACCAGCATATTTTTGGAATCATGAGTCTCAGAAGTAGAAAGCGCTTAAGAGCAGCTTCAGTACCATTGACTGGTCGCCACGTCATTCACAAACAGATATTTCGTGTTTCCTGCTTCCGCGACATTTTTCGCCATCATTTCCCATATATTTAGGTTCGTCAGATTTAATTTCCTTAATCACTTGCTTGTTTACTTCTGTTTATCCTGCACGTGCCTTGGATTTCTTCATCGCAGTTAGACTGTTATTGATTGATATCTTCCTGATTTTCCTTCCTTAAATGCTATCCAGAGTATCAACAGAGATCCTTACCTTATTATGCTCCATCCTGTGACCGTAAACTTCATGATATTGTAGTGAAACACTTCTACGAAGTAAACGCGATTGGTGAAAAATAAGCCCTTATTATTGTACTCGTTTTGTTTAACTGTACCAAAAACACTTTTCTTACGCGCAGCGTTCTTTTCGTGTTGCTGCCATTTTTCATAACGTGCTGCTTTCTGTGTAATGCCTACTTTCTCCTTCAATAAATATTCGAACATGGACTTATTTCTGATTTATGTGACGAGGTAGTATGGAGCATTTAGTAATGATCTTAGTCAGTCTCGACACTGTCACTACTAAAACATGTTGAACTTTTAGCTTCTTTGATAGCTTGCCATTTGTTTTAATAGCCCTGGGTTGCTCTTAGTTAAATACGCTCTTTGCTTTGAAGGATACTCTGGTGCTCGTATGTTCATTAGATTCCATAAGTGTTTTTGGGCTTTTTTGGATGACATGATTTCAACTCCATTCGCGTTATGCATTTTCTTCTTTTCGTCCGACCAGCGCTCAGTGAGTTCCACTTATCCTTTTCAACGAATGCTTGTATCGATTCATGGTTCTGCGATCTTCCATACTAGGAGAGCATTCCATGTACTTATGGCGTTGCTAACCCAACGCTCTTCTTTATTCGGATTTGGTACCGGCAATAATTCTGGATGGGCTCCAGGCAAGGTTTTCTGAGAAGAAAGTATGAAACTATGTTTAAAAGTCAAACTATTTTACTTTTGAAAACTGTCCGTCTGATTTATCTTGTATGATCCACACATCATTTTGTCACTACTGTATGGAAGTCTATAAAATCGCCATTGTTTGACAATAAACTTATATTATTGAAATCTGATCAGTTGAATCTGGTCTGGTTAAGGCGGTTGCGATTGGATATTAGGAGTTATATTTTTGTACTTAGAGTATATCAATATCTACCTTAATTGTTAAATGGTAAAGTCTTGGATCATGAAGCTGGGTGACGCAGGATCGACAGTCGCAAGTATACCTTGATAATGAGTTACAAAGCTGAGGCACACTAAGCGAATGTAGATGGTATATTCGAATTGGAGAAGATGAATGAATGGAGTTAAAACCTGACATAAATATATATAGGAAAGTGAACGAATCGTCGCAAAATTTAAGCAGCTAAAATTTAAGAAGTTAAGAAACATGCATGTGTATGTTGTGTCTATATGTTACGTGCTAAACCCGTAAGCTCATATGACCATAATAAAAATAATACAAAGATATAGAGAAGATGTTCGTGATTAACATGATTCTGTCTGTCAGATGAGTCAATTGAAGGGTCTAACCGAATCAAGTGTATAAAAACTCAAGCGTAGGTGCACTGCTTTAATAAACTACCACCTGCGAACCAAAAATTGCAAGTGTCATTGAAAATGAATGGTGGGATTTCAGTCAAAGTCATATTGAAGCTTATTGTACCCGATAGTTGAAAGTAATTAGTAATTATACTCTGAGTAACCACCTGGAAATCAAATGGTTTCTTGTGAAAGTAAGTAGAGCTCATGCGAACTGAAAAGACTCAACATCAGACGTTTTACAGGGAATCATCCATATGGAATTTCGCCTGTAAAGCTGGCTCACTAATAAGGTTGGACTTTGTTTGGTTTGAATAAATGCCCTTAGTCCAACTTCAGTAAATTCAACGTCGAGGGATAGTGTGTGGTTGCTGATAAGGCTCGTCAGAACACGTAATAGTAAAATGATAAGTTCAGAAATGCTTTGACCCTACTAGGTTTTGTTTGTTTTATTTGTTGAGAACGTCGATCTTCCATCTGCGTGCACAACCTTCATTAGGATTCAACTATTTGTATGTCATAGTTATCCAGAGTTCAATTGGGTTGTCTATTCTTTCGCAACAACTGGAAAGTTCATCTGATGATGTTCTGACTTCCAGTTAACTCCACAACTCATCCAGCCCTTAGACCGTAATCGAAAAACTTATATGCCTCTAATTACAATACAATAATTCAATAACTCTCAGCGTTCAATCTTTTAAATTTAGTTCAACAGTCTGATGTTTGTCTATGAATCAGGTTGCCGCATGAAAATTTATCACTTTATGATGATGGATTCAGACGATACAACATACAGGTTCTTAACTCCGGACATTCAGGACCTGTAATACTAATTCTTACATGACTTACGACTGCAGACCAAGCCGTAAAGAGATCAAGGAATTTCACAACCACATACAAACATATTTGTATAAACCTATAGGTCTAAGAAATACAATTCTAATCCATGATTATGGGAAAAAACTTCAAAACCTAATTTCATGGTTTCCTGAAATGCATTGGCAAAGCTGCTACCGCGCATAAAATTGGTTCTGAATGATCAGGTCAAGCTTCATTATTAGGAATATGCTTATATAAGTTAAGAAGAGGCAATATTCATATAATGATGAAATATTTGTTGTCAAGAAACAGTATGTTACTAGAAGCATGCCAGTTTACAGTCCAGGTGAAGTCGTCGCAAATGCTAACACGTTTACTGCAAAAGTTATCACAGTGAGATTAAGTATAAGAGTCTGTTTCTGATAGCACACTTACACCATGTCACTGACAGGAGGGGTTAATATCCAGTGAACAAAAAATAGTACTTTCAGGCAGCCATTCCTTCACTTCTTCATCTACGACTAGACACTGGTTACTAAATTAGCATCTACGGTTTGGTTTATTGTTATGAGGCGTTGTAATTTTTTAGGTTGAATAATTGTACTACAATTAGACCACAGAATGAAATATGAAACCAACGGTAGAGAAAAGAATCACTATTTTTTCTGTCATCTATTATTAATAATTGAATTCCTGGAAGAACAGCTAAATGTAACACTTTTTCTAAAGACGCTAGATCGAACATGTGTATAAACAGATAACTCGTGTATTTAGACATAAAGAGTTTTTTAAAGTTTATTAAACTCACCTAAATAGTATATAGTCTGTCGATTTCGTGACTGGTAGTATTTCATTTTTTCTGTTTTTAGTACTCTAATATTCAAGGTCAGAATTTAGATAAATTATGAAACTGTAAACATAGTGGAGTTTCCTGATTCCCTTTAGTTATAAAGAGAAAGTTCGGAAAAGTTGTTACAGAACCATGAACTCTTCAGAAGGTTTGATTCAGCATGCCAGGGGAAATTTTAAAGAAAGCTTTCTGTCCTCGGAAATGAGTGAAAAAATTAGTTTGGTATCTCTGTTGTTTTCCAAAATAATTTGTACAGGTGCGTCAATGGATCATTGGGACAGGAACAAAATTGTTAGATTCTCAAACATCTAAACCATACAACTTTGAGGAAGCCTCTCAGATACGTAAATCGCACGAACAGTTTGAGTTTAAGTGCATGGTTAGTTCTTGACTGTCTCTAAATTATGTGTAGAAAGCTTTAGAGGTTTTCGCTGAACTTTGTGATTACAGGAAGCAGAGCAGCATCAATCTTGAGCTTAGCGAACTAGACTATATGGTTCAGAGTTTCGTTGAAAAGTTGAACAAGAGAACATTTTTCGTTGTGTCGTGCTACACTTATTTCAGACTAGTTGAAGAAGTAACAGAAACTCACAAAAATTGAATTTGTTTTTAGCTTTGGAGTATTCTGGAAGAGCTGCAAAAGAGGGAGAAAGAGGTCGATACCTACGACGGGGCGTCTATCAAGAATGCGATATCTGATCTAGAGCATGGCGTCGAAAAGTGTGAAGTGAGACTAAATGGACTTGCCCACGAACTGGAGAGACTTAGGATAATCTTAAAGCCTGCTGATCCAGATTATCTGGGGCAACTGGAGGATGGGTTTAGGGATGCATGTCGAGCTGCCACTGAAGCAACACAATCCCTTAAAATACGCAAACTTGTCCTTAAGAAGCACTCCAAGGTTTGTTTATGAATTTTTTTAAAGAGAAGTATTTCAAAGTTCTGTTATGCATATATTAATTAAATGAGTTTTCTTTTGCTAATTTTCAAACATTTTAGCTGACTTTCATGTTTTGCATAGTAATGCTGACAATTAGTAGGAAAATCTGCTGGTATTGCAACGTATATAAATATTTCACGTGTTTGAACTCTTAGTTTTTGATCGTTTGTTGCAATAATTGAAACCATGGAAATTCTCATGTATGAGCGTAACAACTATGTAAATTTAATTTTTGATGCTGTGTTTATGTGTTGTTATTCTGGTAGTGAGATCATACATGTTTTCAGATTTATTAGTTTTTGTTGCATATTATAATGCGCACAAACTGGCCATCATCCTTCTCATAGTAACACCACAACTAAGTCGTTGGTCGGCGTTTGCTAAACATAAACGGCTGACTTTCACTGATTCTAAAAGTGAAATAACTAAAGTTCGTGGACTTATTATGTCCGAAATATTTGAGGATTAGTGCCAGTAATCAAAATTAGGGTTGCTCCTTTCCTAATAAAAGTCGAGAACAATTCGAGAATTCTCTATAGCCATACAAATGAGCGAATTTCCTTCAAAAGTCCAAGAGACACTATTTTGAATCTGCTTAGTTTGGTCATAAAACTTATTTGCACCCAAATATATTTTAAAAGTTTTCAAAATCGACCAACACATCCTTACATGTTGATTGACACCTAGAAATGTTCAGCAATATAAGTTACAATATAACAATACAGTATAATAATAAAGTTTTATGACTGAATAGTATATACTGAGACAAACTAAGAATGGCTGTTCATGGGTGATGTTGATAACTGTTCTTGAAAACTTAAGGTTCCGCAAATATCAAATCATTGAAGAAGGATATACTGCGTAATTTAGAATGTTGCTTAGCGTTTAACATCTGCTGATTTTTACGATAACCTTTGAATCAAATTTCACTCGTACTGTCTGTATTAAGTTAGTTTGATTTCTTACCAGCGCACAAATATAGTTTATTGTAAAAAATAAGTGATTCAGCTGATTTATGAAGTTCATTGAAGGAATTTTGAATCACACTTGATCAAAAGTCCAAGTCAATCAGAGAAATATTTATTTTATTGGTTGTGTTTCACATTTGATTTGTGATTATTAGAGTAATTTTAATAAATTATGGTTATACAATATACAATGAAATCCGATTACTTTTTCGCGAAACTTGGTGGAAAGTAAAATTTGATCATGATAGTTTGTCTTCTGATCTAGGTAACTGCGTATCCGTAACATACCTCTAGTTCCAGATTTATAATAGCTGAAGATTGATATAATGATAACAGCGTATGAAACATGCCTAAAATGATATGCGCAGTTCATTAAAGTTAAACCTATGCAAATAACTAAGCGGTTTAACCCAAATTTAGTAATTATTACTTTCTCTAGAGTGGGATTAACTTTTTTGTTTTACTTTAACGGTTTAACTTATGTAGCATATTTTATGTCTATTCCTACTTTTGAAAGATATACGAATTAAATACTGGATAGCATGTCATTAGTATTTTTAAAGTGAACTGGTTAGTCTTTTGTCTTGACCTATTTCGGGTGTTGTACAAAGAAGTTACGAAATTAAAATGTTAACTAGTCGTGTTTCTGATATGTCAAGTAAATTACCCTTCCTTAAACTTGTCTGCTAATTTATAAGTTCATTTACACTATGAACCAACATAAAGTGGAGAACTATTTAATGTCGAGGAAAGTCGCGTTCTAGTTCAGGAGTCTGCAGTAAAGTGCACACACAATAAAATATTGAAATGAGCCTAGAGCCTTCAGTGCGTTGCATTAGACATCACTGGTGATAATACCCACCGACGCTATGAATCACCATTTTTCCTTAGAATGTTACGAAATCTATCTCATAGCAAGTCAATGTCAGCTAAGATGGTTGTGTTTTAGGTTCTTCATAGTTGAAAATTGTTTTTAATTATGAACTAGTATAACCTTAAAAACTATTACAAATGTGTAACGGGCAAAGGAATTTTGAGAAGTTTGAAAATAAAACTCATTTTATGTTCAAAAATCTTTGATTTTCATTGGTTCTGCAACTGGTGTCAGTTTTTAATAAAAACTTTGTTTTGATTCTCACATGAGTTTTATATTTAACTGAGCGATCAATAATTAGTATTAATGAAATTATTTTTATTTCCTAGTAATGAGGTTATGATTATAGATAAAAATTACAGTTCACAATGCGGGTTAAACATGAGAATGGTGCGTTTTTCTTTTGATTCGTAAACCAGTTAGTGTGCTAAATAGTACACTTGGTACTTGTTGGTCGGATTTATGTGTTTTGAAACTAGTTTTCGTTATTTTAACATCCGTTTTGTGTTTGTTGGTATACATATAACTTTCTTTGTACTTTTATTTACTTCAACTGCAAAAATAGAGTACGCAATCCAACGTTTTATGTATGTCATACTATTGATCATTGACTATTAGCTCTGTTTGTGATAAAACATTTTGAATACATGCACCAACTAGATACCGAATGTATATATATATATATATATATAAATATGAGGTCAGATTTCTATTAGCCATAGCTACTATTGGTAACTTATTGGTTGTGATATCAAACTGACCATAATTAGGATTATTTGTCCGTTCATTGCAAACCGTTGCTAATCAATAAACTGTGTTTATCAGACAAAGATTGACAGATTATATTGGTCATTTTAATGAAGATATTAAAAAATTTCTGTTTTCAGTGGTATATTTATTAGCAAAAAACACTATTTTTTTCTTGTATGATTTTAACTGTAGAACCAATAAAAATCAAGTTGTACTCAACATCGGTTTAATCGTATTTTAGCAATGCCAGATAGTTTTCAACAGTTTTCCAGTTAATAATAGTTCACAATTTAGAATATTTACAAATACTACAGACTTAAAACACATCTATCTTAGTAAATGATTATTATGTATTGACGATTGATTAGTTTTTGGGAGGTTTTCGTAACATTCTATTAGGAAACAACGATTTGTGGGGTAATAAGTCTAGAAATGATTGAGTAATCAACATGATAGTGCATGTTTTAAAGGTTCTTAGCTGAAATGAAAGAGCTGTATTCAATCGTTAGAATCTGATATCATTGAATTAAAGAAATTAATGTAATTTACACAAGATTACCATCGACCAACAACGTGTCTCGTTAAAAAAAAGCGGAAATGACAAGATCACATTGTAAGAGTTTCAATGTTTGGAATCCAAAAAAATGGCAGAATACTAATAATAACAAGATTTTGAATAATTTACAGATAAATAATCTATCTTGAGTGAATTTCGAGGTATTCTGAGCTAATAGTTAATTCTGTACAGTGTTTAATTGACTTAGTAAAAAACGTAGTCGATGTTTTAACAAACTACTACACTATACATGTTTATGTATCAGATGTTGAGAATAATTCATTTCATTGAGAGTCACAACACATGTAAGATACATTTCATGATATAAGGAAAGGAAAAACACTGGAGGTATCTAAAAAATCTCTCATATTTCAGATACATAAATTAATCATCAATGGTCGATTTCTCCTTTAAATTATTAGTTTCCACAAATACATTTTCACAATGAACTTCTACAATTTGAACGAATGACGACTATCTCTATCACTCAAAGAAATTCTTATAAAAATCATTAAAAAGTTAATTTATACACAAATGACCAACTTGAAGTTTTAAGTTGTGAATGGAATTTTAATTTTTGTTAGGTGAAATTTCGATTCTTGTGGTTTATTTCAGTGATGAAACAAAAGTAAACCAATCAATAAATGCACTGCTTTTACGGTAAATTCTTTTTTGAAAAGTTGTTGAATATTTATTCTCCTTTGACTACTTTCTAAATATTAGTGATTAGAGCATTGAGTGAGTAGATTTTAATACAAACTTGTATCAACTGTTTCTGCGCTTTGTATACAATTCAGACGACTAACGATAGTCACTATTAAGCGTAATTGAGATAAAACCTTAGAGAATAACATAAAACCTTTATAAATACTGAACGTATTAATTTACACATGAAAATGTCACTAACATAAATTTTTATTACTTCATAAATTGATATTGTTTTCTTAGTTACTTGAATGTGAAGAAAATGTTTACGAGTCTATCGGTTGGATAGAAGAGCTTTATGAAAATATTGAAGTAATGTACGAAGAAAATTGTGTTGGAAAAAACCAACTAGAATCAGAAGATCTTTTGAAAAAACACAATGATATAGAAAATCAAGCAAAAGTAAGCAATGATATATTTTCTTAATAAATTTATTTAACAAAAAGGGGAATCAGTTTTTTATTCTTAATATTTATTAGGTAAGTAGATATTTATCAAAACTATCTTGACTATAATTAGTTTGATTTCATAATCCAACATATTTTAGAGAAGAATTGGGTTTACATCTTCCACAGTTCAGAATGTACATCAACTCAACAACAACAGCAACAACAAGATTTTAAAACTAGATCATTAAGTGTCAATTTTCACTTGATCTTCAATTAAGATCACTCACTACAATCTTAATCTTCAAGGAGTAAATTGTATCTAACAAATTTTCGCCATTGTTTTTAGTTCATTTAGCATGGAAATTCTTCTTATTAAAGTGTGATTTTTACCAGAGATTTTAATTCAAGTATTTGAAGTTCAGTTCCATTGTTTACTTTCAAAATACTTGTTTAGCTTAATCTAAAATGATGAATGAAAATCTATTTTGATCAAAGTTAGAGCCTGAAATGAAGTCTTTACTGTGAATATTTCTCTAATATGTGGAAATCACTTAGTAAAACTGAAAAGAAAACCGTTTGAAAATGTGGAGTATATCATACTTGTTATGATTAAAATGGTGTGTTATAATCTTATATGATTCTTTGATAAATTCAAGTTAAGTAGTACGTTATATTTCGACACAATTATTGTCAGTTATGCAAAAGCAAATCAGTTCCCATTTAGTACTGTTTATCAAGAAATTCTAACTGCATTTATGGGTGATGTAACTTATTTTATTTCTTTGTAAATCAATAAGTAACTGTTTGATGAACTATTGTGGTGTTAAATTTGAAACACTATTACATCCTACCCGGTGAGTACATTTGTTAATAAATAAGAAGGAGAAAGTCAACATAGAAATATAAATATGAAAATAAAATTTACAAGTTAACTTTGCCAAGATTCAATAAAAATAATCAGAGTCAAGTGTTAATTGTTTACAACTATGACATCTAATATCTTCATACATGAATTTTTAATAGTTTGGAAGCTTCGACTGACTTTTGAATCAAAGATTTTATCAGCATCAAATACTTTAGTTTAATAACACAGTTCTTATTGATAAATCACTTTCTTGACAGGAATTTTCTTTAATTAATTGAAAATTGAGCAACATATTTAAATGATACAATGTTAGTACTTGAATATTTCACTACGAATTCAAATGTACTTCGAAACATTATAGACAATAAATTATTACGTATGCATAAATAAAACTGTTTACAATGCATATTCATCTATGCTAATTTTTCAACTAAAGAATGTGAATACTTATTTCTACTTATTAGCTTTATTCTATTTACACTAAGTTTATAGAAGTTTATGTGAATGTGTAAACATAACTGTTGACGTGTTGATCCATTTACATGAGTCAAATAAATTCTATTAAACTAGTTTGCTGAATATATGCTGTGTATGTAGAGATTTTCAGAAACAAATTAACATTATCAATGGTAGGTTTTGATTTATTTAAGTAAAGGGATACCTAAATATTTAGGCACCATACAAATAAGTGAATTTTGAGCTGGGATAATGTCTGGGTGACTAAACTGAAATAGGCTATGTTCTTAGAACGCCCACTCCCTGAGCTTCTGACCTATAGGTTTAATTTGCAAGGTTGTAGATCAGCCTCAAGAAATTTAGTCTCATAGTAGCTAGTGACTAACAACAGGTTCATATGTCATTCGTCCTTTCAGGATCCTGGAACCTATGTGCACCAGTGGTTCACAAACAGCAACCTCGTCACAGGAAGGCAGTGAGTAGGACTTCTATGGCAGATATGCGTGACCATGTGAGGGGATTTCGAGGAGAGTGAACTCTTCAAATCATCGACCATACTAGGGCATCTAGGGGCGACAATACTATGTTAGTAATGCAGAGGTTTAACAACGTTTGTTCAGATACTCTGATGATAATCCGATCGGTTTCACCATATTGAAATACTGACTTTGATGGGTTGGACATGTACTACGAATGTCTTTCTCGCAAATTTCACTGCGTGCATCATTTTCCGACGATGGGACTTGTTGGAAATAGCGGCGTGGTCATCCGTCCATGATATGGTGCTATGATATGAAAAGAAAGTGTATAAGACTGGTATCTGTTGGTCCTTCAAATCCACAGCTCTTAAAGAAAGTACAACACGGTGGTTTTATATCTCATAAACATAGCTCAGAAAAAAATTCAGTGGAGACTAAAATATGAATTTTATTTAACTTTGTTTGTATATGTGAGAGGAGAATTTTTTAAATGAAAGAATATTTTCTCGTTGAATTTCTTCTTATTTAACTGTTTCTGCTACTAAGTTGTGAATATTTATTTTGGTACCTTTCTGAACGGATGTTTATGAGTTTTAGATAAATAAACCCGTTTACCTAATTATCTCACAAGCTATTTGACTGCTATCAAACGGTAACAGATGAAGTGTTGAATTCTTAAGTATCATAAGATATTAGTCGTTCAAGTGATGACATATGATTAATTAGCGCTGTATTTTGGAGTTATATTTTTGAAGTCACTGTTTAGAGATTCGAAGACACATGATGGTATGAAGTTTCATACTCACTTCAGTGTTAGGGAGACTTTAATCGGTTTATGCATGTGATTAGTGAAGCTTCCTACTCAAATGACCACATCATGCATCATGGTGACAAATTTTTATGAGCGATCGTGGCTAGCATAATCCATTTATCATCTGAAGACTGTTTTGTGGGGATAACTTATTCTGTGCGCAGCATTTGCGACTGAAGAGATGAATGATCAGGTTTTGAATAGCGAATATCTTCAAGAGTAAAAATATACTTTTGATGAACGGTGAATGCTAACAGGCAACAAACTTATGTAAAAACTTTTTTCTGACCAAATTCAGATTTATACCACCCTGGAATCGATTTCTGTGAATAACTTTGCACTTTTAACACCATTCTTTTATTTAGTTGGCTGACAGTTTAAAATTTTAGTTTGTGACATTTGTGATGTCTTAGTTCTGAACATGAGCTGCAGTTTATTCCTACAATTGTCTGTAGATTTTATTTTCAGTCAGGGAAAATGAATTTTTACTTATAAGTAATATATTAATTTACATTTCTTGAACCTTTTCATTTATGAATAGTTTTGTTTTGACCGACACCATATTACGTTTTCGGATACTAGTATGAGATTATTCTCATTTGAGAGTTCAACTGATTAAAATTTGCTTCATTTTGTACTTATTAAGATCAAAACTGTAACCTAATGTTACTACTGTAAAACACTTATCAAAAACATTTGGTAATTTACTACAAGTTTGATGAATGAACGTTTGAAAAAAGAAGTGTGTTTTTTTAACTTGATGTTGGGTATGATGATCAGGAAAAGTTTCGAAAATGTCTCAATCGGTTTGGTTTTAAATAAAAATATAAGCACGTTGGATATGATTGTTTTAAAAGTGAGTTTACAATCTATCTTAGTTACTGAAGTGTTTATCACTGTTCACTATCAAGCTATTTAAGTTTTACTGTTAATTTTCAGTAAAAAAAAACACTTATCAAGAAAAATTGATTTTTGCCACCGATGTAACATTTTTTCATTTGGTTACATAAACGAGCACTCTCACATTCTGATCATTACATTGGGCATTATCCAGCTTTCACTTGAATTTATCAACAATCGTGATATCAGTCATGCAAGAGTGAGGAAGTCACTGTGATACCAAGTCAAGAAAAGTTTGCAAGACAAGGAATGGTTTAATAATTACCTACTCACTAAGGAATCATTTCTGCTTAGATCACTTTCAATCTCCAGCCAAATGTGTAGATTTTCTCTGACTAACACAGTACACACATATGAACAAGACTGAAACTATTTCTGAATATATGAGAATTTTAAGGCTGAAAGAATACATCTGTAAACACTTATTGTTATTCAGCCAAGTACAACTACTAGTTTACTAATTTATTTATAAATGTGAATATGCAATAATAATCATAACAAATATTTATCTTGATTTGATTTTTGATAACAAAAATGTTTCTTTTTTCTATCTTCAATTTATTATCAAGACAACCTATACATATTGTGTACAATTATTAGAAACATACGGTAAATTATGTGAAGCAGATAGTAGACGTTTACCTCGGAATATAGGATTGAGTAAAACAAGACTATTTCGTATATGGCCAAAGTTAACTGACAGATTATTGGAATTACAAGCACGAACAGAAGCTGCAAAAAAAATCTATATAACAACGGATATGGTATGTTATGTATTTATATAAATTGTTAAGTTTAACCAAGTACTATTTGCATGATTGATTAAGTTTGATTCTTTTTGTCAATATTTCATGATAGAATTGTGTGATTCACCCCCGAGAATGAAATAAACTATTCAGATATATATGGTAAGCTACAAAATCACAAAATATTCTTGTGAAATAAAGGGAAATGGATATAAATTAGGCATGATATGGCAGAATTTTTCAACTAAAACTATTTGTGTTGAATTATCATTATAGAATATTAAATATCTGCTTTGGCTCACTTAAAAAATCGTCATAAGTAAACAAAAAAATGCTTTTATGAGAAAGCGGTTAAGTGCTGTCACATTCTGCATGAAAAGTGTTGACTGTATGTATTTTGACATAGTTAATCAATCGTAAAAGCTCTTTTCGAATAGTTTGTATTCCCGTGATAACCTATTATCTACCTAAACGACTCAAACCGAATGGTAGTAACATGAAAGGCAATAATCTCTTGAATATATCCTTGTAATGACTTGAAGTATTGCATCACCATACACCGTTTTCTAGATATCATTCACGATATTTACAACTCATTAAGGATACATAAATAGATTTGTTCATAATGTTTTATATGAGTAAGTATTATTCTATTGTGACGTTTGGTTAAGGTATAGTTCATTAGTGAGATATGATAGAAGAGATCGCTTGTTCTCAATGGAATGACTATTGAATAGCATATTCACTAAATGTCTATCAAATAAGCCTGATAAAATCAACAAGTAATAGGAGAGAATAAAGAGACAAACTTATACGTTTTACTCTTTACGAATTGTGTTCAATATGACTTTGGTTTTTCGATCAATATAATGATTATTCATTGTAGCATGTGTATTACTGACAGTGTGAAATTTTAATCAGTAATAGCACATTGATTTTTATTTCAGTTTGATGTTTATTGGTATTGATTCATTCAGACTTTCGTACAGTACGATATGTCGCTTGAGATTGTGTGATAATTTTGTTAACTTATCATCAAGTATGAGTGAATTCATAGATCGTTTCGAACACTTTGTAGGTTTGAATATCTATCCTTATTATTCGTTGTTTTATTCTCACCAGGCGTTGTTGGATACGAGGTTTCAGTATCAAGCACAAGTTAGTTAAACATTCTGTACAGGAGAATGGTGCTATAGTCTAAAGGCAAAAGACTATGCATCATGGTGTAACTATCAACTTTCAAATAGAGCCGTCAATCTATTTAATAATAATTTATATACACCTGTACTGGCAGGTTGTTACTTCAACGAAATGAACACTACCTGAAATAAGTGTGACAATTTTTTTTAACAATGATGGCACTGATCCAGGTTTAGACTTTCTTCACGTGTCATCATTATCTATGTTAAAAGCATGAATGATAAATGCAACGGAAGTCTAAAAAGACGAGTTATTTATTAGAATGTTATTCAGGACTTTAATTCCTGTAACGAATAAAAACAACAATTCTATTCTGTCAGAACCAACTCAACATGTTGAAATTATAACTGTGTACCGGTTTTTACAATGCTCAACATTCATGACTTGTTCTTCTTGTAATAAGGTTATCGGATTTCTTAATGATACACTAAGAAGTGGCTATTATAATCGATGGCAGAAATGGACGCCCCCAATTAGGACGAAATGCGAGTTATCAGTTCCATCGCTAGCAACTATCAGTCTTCGTTATTTTTGCTTGTAACCTAATGTTAATATCGGGGTAGCCCGTACGAGAAGCATCTATGCCGAAGAGACTGATCAACTACTGAAGTGTTTAAACAATCTTTATTATTAGTTTTTTTAATATAATTCCGTAATGGTAGCTTATAAAATATCACACTGTAGCTTTTAGACAGTTAAGTACTAATGTTCCATGCATCATTTGTTTTTGCTGACGATGACGGTTGACTATTCCTAACATTTTTTATGCTTCATACAAGACGTTGGTTTCTAGGATAATTGATTCATGGTTTCAAAAAAACTTAACAATCTTCACAACCCCATAATGCAAATTACATGTGCTCACTAGTGACTAGCTTCGTGAGGAATCTTCTCCGAGTTCTAGTGGGAAGACGTGACCACTGAAGTTCAACCTGTTCGGGTGTAGACAGTAACTACCGAAGACTGTGTATGAGGTTGCACAACTTCGTGAATTGATCAAATTAGACATTAACACCGTCAGATACTGGCTCAGTGGTCCGATGGTCAGGTGTTCGCCTACAATACCAAAGGTCCTGGGTTCGAGTCCTGCGGGGTGCAGGAGTCGCGGATGCGCACAGCTGAGGAGTCCCATACCAGGACGAAACGGCCGTCCAGTTCTTCCAGGTTTCTAATGGTGGTCTAACATTGATCGATTCATGGTTTCAAAAATGTGTTACTTAACAATCTTCACAACCCCATAGTGCTAATTTACAAAAGGTATATTTATTTTAAAGATAATTTTATGCTTAGTAACATTTCTTCTGTCTGTTCTACTTCTTGTAGCTTTTAACTCGTGTTCAAGAGTATCTTCTAGAATTAAGTCGAAGTCCACCGATATTTGATCGTAAATGTGGTTCACCATCAACTCAAGGAAGTTTACCTGTTCCGAATGATCAAAAACGTATGCAATTAGATAAATTATTACAAGATTTCTCATGTATCAAATCAAGCGGTTTACAGCTTATTGATAAATTACCTAAAGGATTATTATATGAGTAAGTGACTGACTGTACAATGAACACTGAATACAACTGATATCAAGTACTTTCAGTTAATTGAATCTTTAACAGGAAATAATGTTAGGCAAAAAGAATTATATCACAAAAATCCTATGATTATTTTACACCTTTTTTCAATTATAGGTAGAAAAAAATTACTGTAAAGATAGATTGAGAATTTAAGTGAATTCCTAACAAAGAATAAAAATGAAATTAGTTTTTTGAGAAGACAAGATGAATTCTTGAGATGTTAGTTCATTAAATTTGTTTTTGATATTTTTTTATAGAGATATATTAGCCAATGGACAGATAGCAGATGAAGTAATTCGTGTAATACGCCTTAAACTTTATACATTATGGTTAAAAGTAAGAGAATATGAATATGCTTTATTGGGTCGAAACTCATTGGATAATACAACTGCTAGTGAACTTGCTCCTGATTGGCGTTCTCCAAGAATATTATCTCATTCATCGAACTCAACAATGCGACGAGTTGGATCCCTTTTTGACGGTGATTCTAGTCCAATTACTGTGGTTTCACCACAAATACCTGCATATGAGAGAAACACTCGACCATCGAATCCTTTAGGCAATGAATTTTGTAATCATAATGGCTCAGAAGAATCAGATGATAGAGGACAATGTGAATCTATTAATGGTCGAACTCAGTCAATTCCTCAGTTAAGACGAAGTTATTTAGATAAAATAAGCAGTGACATAAGTTTTGCTACGAAATTACCTTCATCAAATAAACCTTCGAAGCAAGAGACTTCACCGTTCATTCCATTTTCTATCAATAATCACAAGGAAAGGACAAGCTATAATGAAGATTTGAAATCGAAAGAAAATCCTGATGATAGTGAGATCTATTCTAATCACACCTTGGATAGTTTGTTTTATGCGGTAAGAATCATGCATTCCATTTTTCTTGTATACTCATTCAGTCAGAAAAAGTATATATTGTCTATCATTTTAGTATTGATAATGTATCTGTTAAGATTTTCTGTCTTAGCGTACTCCTTTATGTACAGGTATGATTTAATACTGTTGGTGATACGAAAAAATAGTGACATCCATGAAAATAATACTTTTACTCAATATTTCTTGCAATAGTAATAGTATCAAATTATTTATATCATATTAGATTGCATATATGGTAATGATATTGAATAAAAATGATCAATCTTCATTGATCGTTGATAACAGATTAAAGTGTTTATTGTTTTAATGATAGGTAATCCAGAAGAACTTATAATAATAACTGGTAGAACTATCATTACAGTTGATGTTATATATAATTATCAGTAATGTAATTGCTTGAGTAATAAAGCTATTTGAATTTGTGTTAAAATTGGTTTGTAAAGTCTACAAGAGGCCACGAAAAGTTTAACTGTAAGCTTCAGGCTAGTGATCACTATTTATCACTAGTATTATAGTCATCAATCCATTGTCAGAACTTTCTTATAAATTCATCATAGCTCAATCTATTCCCGTTGGTCCTTTCTTATTCATTCTTTTAACTCTAACAAGAAATCGATAATTTTCTGGAGCTGTTCAGCAATCTCCTATTCTTTAAATGTGACCGATTTATATGTGAGTAACAGCCACTACTAAAGACACCAGACCTAAATGGTTGATTATGACCAGTTGGAGTAAATTAATTAGTGTAAACCATTACCGTGTAAACTAGCAAACCCAAGGTGACATTTTTATTACATGATCAGTAAATCTTCGGTTTAATCTCGGCAGTGGCTATAAACACCATTCAATACTTCCTAATTTTAGTAGCTTTCAAACGATATCAGTTAGTTACAGGAGTTATTTGCAAAAATCTGTTTTAAAGCTATTCATTACTTCCATCTATTTATTGTCTTTAATTTGTCTTCGATTTTAGTTTAAACGTCAGTTGTCAGATTTAACCAGAAGTAATCAAACACGCAATCCTGGAGAGACGGTAACAGATGTAGAATTATTCATCTCGGAACATGACAAGTCTAAAAATGAAGCGAATAAAAAATTCGATGAATTCAAACGTCAATTGAATTCTCTATGTAATGAAGATAATTCTAATGTTAAAGCATCAAAGCATAATATTCTTCTTGATGCTAAACAACTTCTTGATAATTGGATTACTGATTGGGCTGTACATCGTGAAAATCTTAATTATCGTTTGGCATTTTTAAATCGTTTAGAAGATTTACAAACAGATCTTGGTGAATGTATTTCTCGTCTAGATCAATTAATCAAAGCTACTTGTTTATCTGTTAATACAGCTGCTGAAACATATAAGAATCAACAAAATCTTAATAAATTAGGTGCGACAGTTTTATCAGAAGGTGAAATTTATCAAATCAATACTATTAATGAAGAAGTTAAAGGAATGTTACAAACAATTCCGGTAAGTTTATTTCATCAACATACTTGTAATATTTGTTATCGTTTTTTTTTTGTTAAGCTATTTTATAGAAAAACTTTTTTAGTTTTGTCTAGTGAATTGTAAGTTAAATCTTTTGCGTATATCCCTGTATGACGGTTTATATTACCATATAATTAGGTAGATAGAAGTGGTTAGTGTTGACTATATTGCTTATCACTCAACCGGCAAAAAAGAAAGAAAATCGGTTAGATTATCGTGTTGAATTTTTTGTGTAAATACTTACTTAGTTATGTATGCCTGATACTGCTAATGAAGCCTAGGTCATTGACCAGCATTGTCCAACTTACTCTGTCCCAGGTCTTCTTTTTCAGTTGTATTCTACTGCTATTCATTCTTTTCATGTCTATTTGCAATTTTGGACGAAGTGTGTTCCTTAATCTACATCTGTTCCTCCGACCTTGAGAGTTCCAAGTTAGGGCTTGTCTCTTACTGCTTCTGGCCAGACCAAAACATGGCAGAAATCCATGAAATCACTAACAAGTGGACTGAGTCATGTTGATAGATGTAGGCTACCTGGTTGGCGTCCACGAGACGAAAGTCACCGATGGTTAGAGACTTTGAACAACATGGCTCAAAATCTCTTGCAATGGAGCAGATGCATTCATTCATTGTGTTCTTTCAAATTATCATCTTCAGAATTCTTCATCATCTCTATCTTTCTCACTCTAAATTTATCTCACTGAATGATACTTCTTGAATAATATCTTCGATCTTTAATATTCTTCGTTACTGCTAATAGTTCTACTATCACTATCGCTATCGGATTTGAACTGACAGTTGTGTCTCTGTGCTGTTGTGGTATGGCAACCTGAACTGATGTATTTACGTACGAAGTTCTACGTCGTAACTGACTGACTGACTGGCTGTTGGGTGATTTCCGCAGCGCTTCTTCTTAATTTCTTCTTCAGCTGGAATTATGATATAATTATCATTGTTCATAAGATTCTTAAAAGAATAAAAAATTTTCATTACAGATTTGTGTTACTTATTTGATCTCATCTTTGACAAATATTTTCGCATAAATTTTAATGTAGGGAATATTTTATGTTAATTAAAATTTATGACATTGTTAGTATTAGCAATTGTGAACATTAAAATGTATAAACTGTTAGATAGAAGATTTGTCCTAGTTTCTATCATCAGTTTATTTAATTATACACAATTAAAATATGTAAGAAATGGATTCTAACCATTTTTTATTGTCTTGTATAAATATTATTGTAGAAAACTGATTGATAAAATTTCAAAGTATATTATAGCACAATTTCTATTGTAAACTAACTAACTAATGTTGCAGGTTGAGTAATCAAATTACCAGATTGAAATTAATTATAACAATTCTAGCATAATAGATTGATGAATTGTCAAAAATAAATAATAAATACAAACTAATAAATCAGTCATTTCTTTATTGTCGACAAGTTGTTAAAGATCTTTGATTACTGGCTTTGTGAATAAATATAATTGTTATGATTCTCTCTTAGTAAAACCCAGTTATTCCTGTTGCTTAGTATTCTCTAACACCGATACACTCGACAAGACCCCAAATCAGAACACGTTTAATGAACATGGAAGAGATTATATTCCAAATAGCAAGGTTAAATGGAAGTAAGAAGTCGAAGCGAAGGCAAAACAGAAACAACGTCAGTATCGTTATAGTTTTTGCGTGAGAAGTTTCTACACTGTACTCCAGGTATCGACTAGCACTGATTGGATAGGAATTAGCCAATCAACGCTCAGCTAACACAGTCATGCTTTAATTCATCTATGTCCCGCTAACAATAATATATCAACAACATAATGCAATTATATCATCAAGCTTATTGTACATAAATTGATGGAGTACTTGAATTGGTATTCATAGTTTATTCGTAGTTAACGAGTAAAACTAAGTTTAGTTGTTTTTAATGAAAAAAATTACTTTTGAAATGCAGATATGAGTTTTTGATAGAATATAGACCACCAATATTTTATGAAACTTTTGTAAATATTTTAATGAATAAAATCTACTCTTTTAGAGTTTTGTTTTAATGAAATAGGTCTACAAAATTTCATTTCATTTCAGAAAGGATTATCTAGAGTGTAGAAAAAACTTTCAGACTATGTTGTTGACTTTGAAGTATGACCTTGTTTAGTTGAATGCATATTCATGCATATAAATATAGTATGATTATTAACTATTGATAGATAGAAAAGTCAATTGGATTAGATCATATTATCGATTGACATTTCTAAAAACTTCCAGCAGAAAAAGAATATGGAAATTTATCTTGTGTTTATATTGAGACATTTTGAATTTATTTCAAAATATGCTCTCAATGTCACTACTAATTAAACTTAGTTGGATTTATCAGTTTAGAACTTGCTAGTTAAGTTTGTCGATTAACATTGCCATGACTTCTTGGTGAAATAAAGTTAAGTAAATCAAAGTGGGGCTGGACAATCTCTTTCAAAATTAATTATACTTAAAAAAACTCATTCTTTACAAGTGACAGAGAATAAAATGCAGAATAAACCTGATCGCTCATCCTAATATATGCATAATTATCGGCTACACTATGAACAATATCAATGAGCAAGTTTATGATAGAAAAAATCTTCAGATCGTTCATATTCAAAAAATCCGGATAATTGACTTTAAATAGAAGTAATTAGTTTCATTTAATTTTCATTTATGATTATGAACTTAGCAGCATTGAAAACCACTTATTAAACAGTGACGTTCCTTTTAAAATTAATTGCTTCTTAACTATATGTCTATGTTATTAATTCTTGTTCATTGAACAATTTAATTCTTGGCGTTATATTGGACATTGAAATGTTTGTAGAGTTAGTGAGTGAACGAACCTGACACATTGTTGCTTTTGGAAACTGTTTTTCCGTATAATAATTTGTTTCTATCATAGTAAAATTGTGATCAACATGAAATCTCAGTTTCGACATATTTAGACTTAGAGATTAAGGTGTTCATGGATTTGGAATGGTGCTACATATATAATGGTGTCCGTTATCTGGTTCTTAGCTACATCTCTAAGCATGTTAAAGCTCAACTACATTTGCTGATAAATATTCTTCATAATTAGTTACTTAAAATAATGTATCCCATTCGTCAATGACAGTTTCATAAATTTGGATACTGATATTAACACCATCGTGTATAAATTGAATTTAGTGGAGCGAAGTTCGAACCCAGTACTCATTATGCTTACGTTCACTGCCTTAACTTTCCATTCATTATGTCATTAATAACCTGCAAAACATAAATAGATAATGCCGGTATATGGATATACCCCGTTTATCTAGCGATTACTAAACTATTTACCATTTATTCCTAATTCTGATCTATCTAGGCTGAGAACACAGATGTAAATTCAGTAGAATTCCACTTTGAAATACATTTCTGTGTTGGCTTAAAAGTTGGCCAACTTTCTTTTGCGTATATCACTTCGTAGAGTATTTTTGTGGCACTTTATAATTAGTGATGAATGAAGGCAGGCAAACAAAAAAACCTTTGTTTCTTCATGATAAATATATCTTACTTATAATTTATTGATACAATACACAGAAACTGGTCATTAGTAATTTATCAATAAATGTTCTTTTTAAATTTTAATCATCAACTTATTACCGATTAATCACAATATATTGATTATTTCACCTTTCTATATTTGTGTTTTTATTTAAGGCACAAGAACAGTTTATTCAATCATTGATAAATGAAGTTGAACAATCTGAAAAGTTTCAATTTCCTAATCATGTCATACAAATCAAATCTATTTGGAAAAAATACACGGAAAATTTAAATATATTTAAATCTTTTATACAAAATTTAACGAAGGTATTCTTTATTGCTTTTTGTACATAATATAAATGTATGCTTATTGATCGTTCTCAGTAATGCTCAATGTAATGTTTGTGTTTTTCTCAATGCTTATTGATTTTTGTATATTGAATTGTAGAGTGGTTACTGGTCTTAGTAACTTGACATTGTTCGCACGATGTTTTGTTGTTAGCTGGTTTCAGTAGACCTATATGAAGTTCTCAACCTAGATTTCTTTATTGTTGGCACTGGAATCTCAATAGTGGCAGAAATTCACTCAAAATTTGCTAATACGGCTTGTTGATAAGTGTCAACTAGTTGGAAACCTGATTTTAGGGATTCCTAGCCAATTAACATGAAATGAACTTTATACTTTTTGCAAGTACATTGTCCTTATGATAAGTCATAGTGACGGATGAATTGGTTCACTGATATAGTCTACCAATCGCTTTCATTCAAAGATTAATAAAATAGTATTGACGCTCTAGTATTGTGACATCATAAATCTGTTTGCCAGTCACTGAAATTAACACTTCATTAGAATCATTTTTCAAGAACTAGTTTTTTATCAATTCTGTTGTTAGAAGAGCAAGATCTAGTTTCCAAATATGTAATCGTTGTTCAGCATTACTTTGTATTCATTTCCGTATGATTATTGTTCTGTGTAGTATTTGTATTTGTCCTGTATAAAAATACCTTATTGCAGCGTTTATTTATGTTTTAATTTAGTTTGCACTTCCTTTCAGAATAACATACAGCATGGGTTTTACAGGAATTTTGTGCATTTTCTTTATATGTAACATAATAACTGGACATCAATACTTAAATTATTGAATAAAGTCTTCATGTTTACGAAAAGTTTATTAAAATTATTCATTGTGGTTAGCTTTTGTGCTCTTCCTCTACGTTGTACAAAATCACAGTGGTTTTCTTGTTGCATGTTGCCTCAGAGTTACAGCGACCATGTATGGTATTTAGTAAAATCCTATCTTTATCTTTGAAACTACACTCCGTGATGTGTATCAATTAATATGTTGTTGCTTATGAATGGTGTTTATTCTTCGTACTGTCTAGAGTTTAAATATTTTCCTTGTGTGTCACTGTTGATAATTACTTAACAAATGAGTTTTAAATGATGTGATACTTACTGAAGACTCTGAAAATGAGTAGAGCTATATGATATGACATTCAAGAATAGCATGCTTATTCATTGGTATTATTATTGAAATGGTAATTAGTCTATGTAAAGTAAAGTCAATAAATCTGTGTTCAGTATGAATTAATGCCCATGGATTATATGAAATTTGAGATGTTCACTTGGCAGTTGAATAAAATCAATCATTTTTCTGAATAGTTTCTTAATGGTCTAAAGCAAATGCAAGTAAGCGATACAATCACTTCCCTCAACATATTGGTTACAATTATTTCATTCAGTGAAATAATATATATCTAATCTTTTTCCCGTGTGTCTAATAATGCTTCATATTACACACTGAGAACAAGCAAGTGTAACTGTTCTTCATTTCTAGAGGAACAGAGACTGGAAAAGATTTATTATTATTATTATTGTCACTATTATTATGTAATACCGAAACTGCCATTCATTGATGAAACACAAAAAGGTGAGAATTAAGTTAGCTGGAGTGATTAAAAATGCTCTTATAAAATCAACATCCTGTTTTTGGACGCAAACGTTCACTAATACTTGTCGTGACGGACAATGTCGCAATGCCTTATGAAATATGTGCGTTCGATTGTTTGGTTTGATAAAAATCAATATGTCCGTCCTAGTGATGAATAATCAAGCATTAATGGATATCAGAAAATTAGAAAAAAAAACAAAAAAAAACTGGTCAGTAAAACGTGATTATTCATTTTCACATCAACATTGACATACCCATTATGAATTATTTATTTGAACATATGAATTTTTGGTTTCACGTGATATAAACTCATTGTGTGATTAAGTATGATTCTTATTCGCAAAGGTTATTTAATGTAGGCGCTTATGTTTGCATTGCTTTACAAGCTGAATGTTAGTTCATGTGATAATAGGTATGACTGATTAAAAAGTCTAAACTGATACAATATAATGCAATTGGTAAATGATAAATAAAATATACTTCTTATAATATAATATGTAAATATCATATATGATCTTAGTCTGAAAGTGTATAGGTTATGCAAATAAAAATGTATATATACTATATAAAATACGATGAAATGTTACGCCCTTTTGTTTAAGACACAGATAAGACGTTTTCTACAAATTTTGTTTGCCTACTGAGGAATGAACAGATAATCTTCTATTGAAAGTAGCTATTCAGCACATAAACGATCTTGTTTTCGCACTGCATTTAGATTGTATTTAACTACATTAATAATTAGTGACTTCTGCTTTACCTAGATTAGTATGAAACACCATGTCATGGGTTTTTTGAAAGTGTTCATGCATTCCGTATATGAAGTTCACGTACAGACCTATTACTTAGCAATCAGACATAATGTTGAAGATGTTAGACACCCAGAAATCACTTGGTAAACCTCCTGATTTTGTAATTTATTTTCAGGAATTCAAATTTCTTATTTTCTAGCCAAAAATGCTCCTCATTACCTTTAGTTTGTGTTCGCCTTTTTGAAGGACCTTAAACCTCATTAGTTATTTTTCGGTTTCAGTGTGCTACATTTTGTACTGTATACATTACTCTTGGATTGAATGCTGTTAATTTGTTTGTTCGGAGTTGCTTGTCAATTCTAAAATCTTCCTGCTGACGCTGAACTTCTTACTCTAGTTGATTGGGTTGGGGCTATAGGAGAAAGATTACTTGTCCTGTTTTTGTACCTCTGATCCATTCGCCAGTAACTAGTCAGTGCGAGCATAGCACATACGTAGATGATACCTTAGATCAATGAAACATGATATTTTAATTTAATCATGATCGTTTCATTCTAATTTTGAAACAAAATCAATGCTACACACATTACGAACTAATTTACAAATGAATTTTCATGTAGATATAAAATCATAACCTAGTGAGTAGCAGGTCATTATAAATGTCATTTGTAATGAACATTGTGAAGTAATGCTCATAATTAATAAATTTCAACTGTACAAATAATAAAAAAAACATTACGAATAGTTTTTCGGTGTTTTCTAATGAAACCTTGATGATATCAAACTCATAGTACATAGTACTACTTGATCTGATTGAATATAGTGTATAACCTGGTTTTCATCTAGCTTAAAAAATTCATCAAAGCCAAATAATTAAGTCTAAACATACAATAAATCTTTCAGAATTTCCTGGGTTACTCTGTCGGTTCTTTTTTGTAAAAAGGTGTGAATTATACATCCAGTTTACGTTTCTCCGTATTTCCTACTAATCGGATCTAACACACTTTGTAATGTGTGGTGAATGCTTGACTAATGCATACTTCGTTTTAAAACCCACCATCTGACAATGTCTGGTAAGAATCGAACGATTGATTATACGGATTTATTTTCACACTGAAAATAAATCAAACGGATATCTGAATGCATTACTTTTATGTTATTTAGTTACAATCGGATCAATATTTAGATATTCTATCATTTTCTCAATTGATTACAGTGTGAACACATATTTACCATAGGATACAATTATTATGTAACTAATTGACTAGATTATATTGTTAATCTGCTCAGGATGTGATTACTTATCACAGACGATTGGAAAAAAACCGATTTCATATATCTTTCTCAATGTGATCGATTAGGTCACTGCTCACCAGGTTACTTTTAAAATTATTAGTAGGAAACTACTAACCCAAATATTTTACTAATCGGCACTTTTTTATGGGATCAGATAATGCCAGTGATTTTGATAGTCATTTTCTTGCTTATTGAATTCCTTTCTTACCGACAGTCTTGAATTTGTGACCTTTTAGATCTAAAACCGTTTCTTTAGTTTAAAGGTTAAGAAATGTTCTTCGGTATTCTGGGTGTTTGTTTTTTATATTTCAATTCATTTATTCCAGTGTTATGTTTGTGATTTATATTGAAACAGTTTTCTCGTCATGAATGATGGTTATATCAACTTGTAAAATTACTCTCATAACAATGATTGTGTGCTGGGTCATAAATTTCATTTATGTTTAGCGGATCTGTAGTTTTGTGTTCCGACCAAAGTGGTTTAGGTTGGCCATGCTGCAACGAATAATGATTGGTTTAAGTGTTATCAAATTATATGTTCAGTCTGTATAGGTGTATACTTTTTTATCCAAGTATATTCTGAAATAGCATAGTGAGAAACAGATTATCTCTTACTGTAAAAACGTTCAAACTTCAATCTAGACAATGATAATGTGGTTACTAGAGTTGAATGTTAACAAAAAGGTAGTCATTGCACAAATTTTAACATTTATATTCATTTTAAAAGACTCATAACCAGTTCTATTATTTCTAAAATTATTAATATTATTAAGCTACAGATTTGAAGAATAAAAAGTTTAAACCATAGCTGTTTAAATGCTATTCTCAAACCTGTATAAACAATAGTTTGAAACTCATCAATCAGCCAACTCTGTATTTATTCAGTGACATTCAAAATATTTAGTGGAACTTATTGTGTAGCTGAATTTCTGAATTATGTATCTAATTACATTAGACAGTTGGTCTCTAAATGTTTTATATGTTGTCTTAGAAATCGTGTTCATTTTGTTATTAAACTAAATAATTATATTTTGCTTACTTAACACTGTTTATTTCTTATTATTCCATACTGTGCACAGTGAAACAGAATTAAATGCGTTTACAAGTTATCTGTATTTGTAAATGTTCCTATGCTTACTGAACTACTCAAAAGTATAATTTTATGTTGTCTAGGAAGAGTAAATTTTTATGTTAGTCAAAAGTGATGACCACCGTTAACGTTTTTAATCTATCATACATACGATAAGTACTAAACAATAAGTAGCTTGTACCTTACTCACTTTGGTTTTATTGGGGTGAGAATTTTCAAGACAAATATACCAAGCAATTATTCACATTCTCTTTCCCTTAAAATTCAATACAATTCACAAAATAAAATTATGGATTTGTTTATTTATTATTATTTCTGAAAATTAGATCACTGTTCATACCACACCACTAATTTTCTGTGTAAATTCTTCAATATTTACTCACACTATTAGTGAACTGTCATATTCAATTTTAGGTGTCATTAGATTGATGCATTGAACGAGCGATTATGTAATAACATTTAGCTAAGCCATATTATATGTGTGTGTGTTTAAGATTATTCAATACGGTATCAATCGTTTAAAAGCGCCAAGGTGTTATTGCTTTGTTTAAGATCGGTATACTTCACAAAAGATAATATGACATCTAGATGATGGATTTGAGTCACAAATTTCTATCAAATGAATTGCATATGTCTGGTGGTGTTCACCAATATTATTTTTCCCACCATGAAGTAAGTGGGCTTAACAAGCTCTAGTGAATCAGTGACTGGGAAAATTTCAGCATGTATGTTAAGACTGTGCTTGACTGAATCACATATAACCTAGGTGACTCTTTAGTCTATTTATCCTATGAGAAATGTAGTATAAGCCAGTTTGTTACTTATTTATGGTTATGAAACATGGATGTTAAAGGTGGTCAATAGCGATGCTTACTATTAGGTTTTCAAACCATTGTTTTCCTATTGTAAAATCGCTGAATAAGCCTGATGTTGTAGGAACGTATGCTAACGGTTATATGTGGTTATATGTTACATGTAACTAAGTTTTAGAATTGATTTTTTTTAATCTGGCAGCTTCCGTATGGGAGTTTGGATGTTATGTTGCTTTTCGATCTGACTATTCTTTTCAATAAACTCCTTTCATTTGATGACATTATTTGAACTAACAAATGTACATACTTACCCGTAGATAACATTAAAAAACAAATACGGAAGATGTAGTTTCATTAATTTTAACATAATGTCTTGTCTCATGAAAAGCACTAATGCAAATCTTTTCAAAAATTTTCTTTTGAAATGTATTTATTAACCACATTCAATAACCATTCAATTGATGTTCATTATTTTTTTAGGCTTATAACATTATTCCAGAGTTGAATGACTACAAATCAAGTTATTTAGATTTTATATCTGATCCCAGTAAATATGTGTCTTCAACGAATCAGGTAAATAGCTATTTTTTTTTAAATGATCACGTTTTAACTGAGTAAGTCTGGATCGGAAAGTGTTCGAGTCTTATTATTGCACCGTTGAAATTTTCATGTGAGAGTTAAGTTATATGGTTATATATCAGGATTAACCAGTAATATAGAATATAACACATAAATCTCCATCTAGTCAAGTTTTCCTGCACTTTACATTAACATACTGGAAAAGAAAATTTATGAAATAAAAAAGCCAGAATATTGATAACGTGAATGACGGTGAAAGAACCAAACCCAACATTACTTTCTTTGTCATACATGAATAAAAATGATTTATAAACCTCTGGACGATGTTTGAGTTCAAATACCCTAAATTTACAAACAATTTACAGTTGTCATTTTTGTATTTATATTTCAAATGTTTAAAAGTGTTGATTAGTAATTGTAACTGAAATTTTGTTAATAACCATTTAGAAGTGCGCTACAATATTCCTTAGGTTTTTATTTTGATCAAGTTATTTTATGAAGCGGAAATGAATTACTTGTTAAAATTAACTTATCCTAATTTTGGAGTTTATGTTTTCGAGCATGAGCTGATCAGTTAACCTTGAGATTACATTTCCCACTCGGAAAATCCTTGGCTGTTGTTAGTTGATGTATTATTTTAATAAGCTATTTTTGTGGTTCTCCCGAGGGAGTTTCTATCACATATAAATAAACTCGATTTGTGTGCTTGTCAACCTCATATTTTCTGGGTGCTTGTAGAATACACTTTCTACGCCATATCAAGGCTTCTTCTTCTACTCAGTGAGGGCTTGGGATGCTCGGATTAGAGTAGCCTGTCGTACCACTGGATCATCTGTCTTTGCTCTCGTTTACCGACTAATAAAACTCGTATCAGTTGACAAGCATAACAATTACTTCAAGATTTATTTCGGAAAAACATTTCAATACACCAGCTACAGTTGTGCATACTATCCTGTTTAAAAACAAAGTTCACTTCATCTGACCAAACATTTACATAGAATGGATTGAATTTCCATCAATGTGAATATCGAAGTTTTATTGTGAATCAGCTATAAAATATTTTGAATTCGTAAATATATATTATGAATGTTCTGTTAATTTTTTCTCTTTATTCATGATTTACTTTTTTAGATTGATAGTCATAAATTGCAACAAGCTATTTTCGATATCATAAAACCTGATTGCTTATCTCCTAATGCTGAAAACGTCAGTAGAATATCTTCAATCGATCCACAAGTTTCATGGTTAATACAATATTTAACTTCTCAATTGGATTTAATCAAAGAATCACAAGAAGAATTAGAAATGGTCATGTTAAATATACGAGTTGGTGGAAGTACATCACCTGTGGATTTGTCTGAATTAGCTTCGAAATCCCGTAATAATAAACCTAATAATACTAATACTAATAATAATAATCATCATCATCATCAAAAATATTATAATGTGAAAAAATCTCCAACACAACATTCATCATCACCAGTGTTTTCAGATGAGAATTCATCTGTTGCTTTTGCTAATGATATACATGAACCATTGAAATCAACACCATCAACATATCATTCATTTCCAAATAATATAAATTCAAATAAATCTACAATTCAAATGAATAGTAATACAAATTCTAATGAAATTAATTCTGCACCACCTATATTATGTTCATCATGGCGAATTATTAAACCATTGAATAATATTCAATGTAAACTTGGTGATACAATTAAATTACAATGTTATTTTAATGGACCATCAGCTAGAGATACATTCAGTGTTTCATGGTATTATAGACCATTTAAATTAATCAAAGGACAATTAAGTTATGGTTTAAAAGAAAGAATTAATTTAATTTATTCTAATAATGATGATATAATTGAAAATATTACAATGGATTTAGCTGAATTGATTATTAAAAAAGTGACAACTTTCAAAGCTGGACTATATACTATTCGTATTAAAAATGAAGAAACCGGTAAAGCAATGAAAAGTAATGGTAAGTTAGTTCAAAATGAATTAATATATTATTGTCTTTTTGAAATTTCAAGACATTGTAGCCAGTAATAGACATTTACGATTATTATGTGATTGAGGGTTGAGAAAGACATAAATGCGATTATAGACGTAATACAATAACCTAAACATTTTCTAGTTTAGCGTATAAATTAACTGGAATTGAGTTTGAAATATGAATGGCTGATTTGTCAAGGTGGAAGATTTTAACAGTATTACCTAAAATTAGGCGTTTATTTAAAGAGCTAGCTAGACATTTAAACTGTCTTGTACAAACTATCCATGTTTATGCAGTTCTCATGTCACACCTCACCCTACCTCACGGATTTCCGTCTCCGGCGGTAAGGGTGCCCACTAAGGGCTTTCAAGAGCGGAGCTAATACTCAAAAAACCCTTCATAAAAAGGCCGTGCGTGACCGGCCTCAAGCAGTTGTCCCTTGGGCTCTGCGGTCACGCACCCAGGTCTCTAAGACCAACACTAATTTATCTTCCTTTTCAGATGATTAAAACCCTATAAAAACTTTAAACCGTACTTATTAACTGAGACTAAAATCAGTGGTTGCGAAGATTTTGCTATTTATGTTCTTTCTTGCTGTTCATTGAACGTACATTGAAATTTGTTATCTTTCACTATTCCTCAACTCATTAAAATTATGACTGTTGATAAGTTGAATTCTCTTTGAAAGTTTACCAAAAAAATACTCCAATCTATTATTCTGAGGCTACAAACTATTATCAAAATAATAATTTACTCATTCAAACTCAATAAAGCGAATATATAATTCAATCGATTTTTCAGGTGATCAATATTATTCAACTCCACACTCTGAATTATGATCATCGTTGAAAACCACAATCTTGTGATAACCAGTTAAACAGTCATCTGATCTTTTGTTTGCCTTACTTAAATTAATGTTGATTTAGAGAAAAATTGACTTTGAGAAAAATACTACATATATCGTCATATGTGATTTTCATTAAACATTTAGGCTGACTGACCTCATTTCCAGCTATATTGAATCATCTAACTTAGTACACTTTGCTTGATAAACGATACTAGGCGTCTCTGGTTAGATGGTTCAAAATCACTGTGACATAATATAATCAGTACACAACGTAATTACTCAATGAGTATCAAATCATTGTTATAATTCGTATATATTAGTGTAGAGACATGATGAAATATTGATGACATTACGGGGTTGTGAAGATTGTTGGAATCCTGCGAGGTGCAGGAGTCGTGGATACGCAGTGCTGATGAGTCCCATACCGGGACGAAACGGCCGTCCAGTGCTTCCAGGTGTGTAGTGCTAGTCTAACATTGATCGATTCATGATTTCAAGTGAAAAACTGACTGGAAAGAAGATTTTGCTCTATCTGTTCTTTTATAATGTGATGTTTTCGTTATTTTCTAAATTGAAAATATTAGTTTCCATATTTTAGGTTTTCAGTTTTATTTGTCTGTTTTCATTTAACATGGTTATTCGGTCATAATATTCTGTTTATAATTTCGGAATGAAATGTAAAAATTTCTAATACGGATACAGAACATCTAGTAATTGTTAATAAACTTATTTTTAAGCTATTGTTGTTTACTATTATTAGTAATATTATATCATGTCGATTTAAAAATTAGCTGTTTTCTATTTTTTCGTCTTTCAAGCTTCTTTAACTGTAATCCCCAATATCCTGGAAAGTAAACCTGATTTGGACGTTGAAATTCTAGATTCATCTACAGGACTCTTGAAACCAATTAAGATTATAGTCAATTATGAAGGGTTATGTATCATTCCTGATGTAAAATGGACATTTAATGGTTCACCTATTAATCAGTCTATCTGGCGAATTGATACAGATATTGATAAAAGTATTCTGTATTCTGCCAATGCACATGTTTCCGACAAAGGAATTTATGAATGTGAAATAAGGGATCATGTAACGAATACAATACTTAAAACGAGAAGTATGTTTTACTCTGTGCCACTAAAACTCTAATTCAATGTTTTTGATAAATTAGTTTCTGTCACAGCTTGACAGCATTTTTAAAGTGTAGTATCGCGACCAAGGATATCTATAGTAATTACGTATAATCTACAGTAATAACGTTACATTTGATGCAAAACTTTGATTATAATAAACTAGTTCAAATTAAGTGGACGTTTGAATTCATCCGCTGGAAATGGATAGATTGTGTCACCTTTGGAGTCACATATATTACCACATATTGTTGTGTTAACCCTACTAGTTACCGATTCTAAAGTCAAGAAATATTTTAGACAATTCTGACAGATATTTCATATTGTGAAGTCAAAACTAATGCAATAAAATCATAGAATTGACCAAGTGGTTTGAGACGAAAAAATGATCTAAACCCTATCAGATGAGTGTTTCTTAGAAGACAAGATCACTAACTAATTGACCAGACACCTTGCGGAGTTACACTTGTTATTTAATAGATTTTAATAGTGGTAAAAATGATTTTCACAAAATAAGATATAGTCCTTAAATTCCGTTCGCTTTGTAAATTGACCTTAATTGGTGAAAGTGCTTCACTGAGCATTGATTAACTTGAATTCAACAGGAGTGTAATACAAACATTAATCTCAGTACATCTTTACATACCTTTTAATCGGAAGGTAAGAATTTAGCATGTTATGTAAAATCCTATGATGACTAATCATGAAATATGATATCTACTCACAAGAGACGAGAATTTAAGTTAATACGGTATACTGCTGAACTTATTAGTGACATGGTTATACGATGCACTTAGCTTGTATCAGATCGAGTATCCCGACTGAAATATAGTTAGTATTAAAATGTTTAAAAAACAGCTATTGTTGTTGAAAAATGCGAACAGAACTTGTCAATTCAATATATATATATGTTTGTATTTATTATATCAAACAACTGATATTTCGCTGACCAATTATTCTGTTTTCCAGTATCAGTTAATTGGAGTATTGCATGAATATATTTGATTTTGTGAGTAATCATCTATTAGACACAATTAATTCACAGTATTGATCATGTATATTTCGGATGTCTTACAAATGCTCCTTCGTTACAAAGGGATTCAAAGTAAAATCGTTTTAACACCATTGATTTTTTAAGTCGGTTAGTTATTAACAATTTTAGGTCTTTCATGAATTCAATTCGTTTAAGATCGTCTTGTCATTGAAGCTTAGATAAGAGTGAATGAGAAAAATGAGTTGTATTAAGTAGAAGTGATTTTTGTTAAATAAATACATAAAAATGTATTTCCTATTGAAGGATCAATACAGACCCAATTTTCCGAGCCAGTTGCAGAACAACCGCTTGTGTTCGGCAGTAATCAAACAGTCGGTATGGTATTTGTTGGTGATCCAATCGTTATACGTTGCCCATTACCATCTGTAATAAAAACAGGATCAATAATACACGTTGATTGGTTACATAATCAACATACAATTTACTCGATGAAAACAACAGTTACGAAACAACTTGCCAATAAAGTTATCTCTAGCAAATTAGCTAATTTCGAAGGAAATCAATTTAAACGTAATGATACAATATGGCGGACTTATATAATGGATAATCATTGTGTTCTTACGACAGATCATGTTCAAAATACAGATGAAGGTATTTACAAGTGTCGCATAAAATATGACACTGGTATCTATGAATCTTCAGGTAATTTCATTTCATTCTCTTTGTTTAATTGATGTACTATGGATGTGTATATAAGTTGAAATTTTGATCATTCATGTATTCAGTAATAAGCTTAATTAATAAATAAAAAGTTGATACAAGTTAAGTTGGTCTCGCTTTATCTGGTAAATTTTCCAATGTGGAATCATTATCACATTTTATTGATGATGAATGTGCAGAGAATATCAATTCGATGTTCAATTTCGCAACTTTAATGTGAAATTGCATTGTATTGGTTTTGATTATTATAACCTCAGTGGTGGTCCGATTGATGTGCAATGTGAAGGCATTGATTTCAATCACCCATGGGTCATTTTTGCTCACTGCTGTGAAGTTTCAAGGCAAAACGATGTGCAGTTATAATAGTTTATTGTGCCTGGTAGTGGCTAAGTTGCCGAGGCATATACTTTCTAATCAAAAAGTTGTTGTTTAAACCGCCTTGCATCTTATTCGTTTGACGCAGTCAGTTATTAATATAAGTTCCTGAACTAATCAAGAAGCTTACGTGTAAGTTAGACGACTGATACAAACAAAAGAATTTAAATTGTAGAAGAGTTACAAATTGTGCTTGACGTTAACTAATATGTATCGATCCACTAAGATAAAAAGTGGTAAGTCTATGGCTAATGTAGGTAATGCAGTAAATTTTGTCCTTTACTGATAAGGCTAATTTGTATGGATGACTTTAAGTGACGTGTTAAGCTATCATAAGACAATTTTCAGCTCTAAAATAATACCCATGAAAATTAAAAAAATTACAATAGGTAAATAGTTTCCATATGGATAACAAACTTTTACATGTTGAATTCTTTGTTACAGCAAATGAGCAAGGGTTGGTTTTAGGTAATCGGAATCATTTCAGAGTTATGAGCTAGGGTTACCTATTTACTTACGCCGTTTACCCCCAATGGAGCTGTTCTATCTAATAGTTGTTCATTCTGCACATGTGTGTCTCCATTTCTCGGCGTAATACGTTGTTTGGTCTTCCTCTTTCCCGTTGGCCTTGTAAATTCCAAGTGACGGGTTGTCTTGAGGCTCATTCGGGTGCTTTCCGTAATGTGTATCCAATCTACTTACAATGCTTCTTCCTGATTTCTTCTTCCACTGGAATCTGGTTTGTTCTCCCCCAAATGAGTTAGGGTTAGGAGTTTTATAATAATCTTTGTTAACACAAACAACTTTGACCACCGAATGTGTAACATCAAGCACCCTTAAGGTATAGGATGCATCACATGTAGCTGTTTCGGTTATCCACTACCTTGACAAGCGATTTTGTCTGATGTAGGGATAGGCTGGAAAAAAGCTAGGGACGGCCGAACCAATTTAAAGCTGATAACACCTTATTCTGTAAAGCTTAACTGTCATCCTAATTTCAAACTCCCACTCCTAATCTCAATTTCTAACATTAACTCTTAATTCCATTTTGAATCTCCCAAGTAGTTTTGATTTTTCAAGGTAAGGTTCATAGCAGTCAAAGGTCTTCTATATACTTCAAAAAATAGATATCTTGTGTAATTTAGCTTATGCTCCATGTTACATTCACTGTATAGTTGCTTAAAAGACATTTTTATCACTATTGATAATCTTAATCAGTCCTTAATAAGATTAATATCATCAGTCATTTCATTACGAATTCCATAAACATATTTTTATAGAATAATTAATTACGCTAATCATCTTGTTCGAATAAAATTCTCGGTAATGACTGAAACAGTATCAGGAAAATTTATACTACTAGCAAAAATTATTCACCAAATGGTCATTATTCAGAATATTTTACAATCTGGGCGTTTTATTTTTGCAATCATCTATCATCAACCTCTTGTCTTTTGGAATTATGTTTTCTAGTCAACCTTTGTTTTAGATAATATGTATGTTTTACGTGTTTATTATCATTATTGTCTTTTTTTTAATGTTGAATCAAATAAATTAACATTTTATTTAGCTATGATACAGGTTTACGTGTAAACTAGTAAAATCTGACGGTTAGTTAATAATCATTGTATTATGTATATGTGTCGTTGTGTTGTTTCAACAAAATGTCTTGGTGTGATTATTGTTTAGTCTTTTGCTTAGTCATTAATTTTCTCATAAGTTGAGTTATTTCTTTATGAATACTCATCTAATTTCTTACGACTGTTTACTTGAGATATCATATAGGTTCATTCTTATCACGAAAGCGTAGGTTTTTTGAAAACAAGGAAAACATTTTATTAGAATATAGTTATTTGTTTGTGTATGTTCACTCAACTGATTACATAGTCCCGCTGTATCAGCTGAAGTCCACAGTTTCCAAATTAGATAAATTTTTACAGAATGTCTTACAAAGGTAGCAAGGAAATCATATTTCATGTATGTTGAGTAGTTTTATGACAGCGTCCAAAATGACGTTTAGAAATGGCAGATCCAAATTACGATCTATGCAAGAAACTGTCTTATTACAAATTCCACAGTCGTTTGAATAATAATAATAATAGCTAGAAAAAACTTCATCAGAACGTGTATTTAACTTAATTCTTTAATCTTCTATTCTTAAAGATACTGAATTTCTCTTAAGTTTATGTTTACTTTTCCGTTTAGAACTGGTTTTTTCCCACATTGGTGTTGGTTTATATTTTAAGAACCAATCTAATTCTCTTCTAATTTGGTTATTTCTACACGTTTTGCTGTTGTAATTCAGTGTGTGTACCGTTCCTCTGTTATGCGCACTAATTGAACTGTGGATAATAGTTTTTACCATTTGAATAGTATGATAAATGTGGCAGTCGATTTGTTTCTCATGATTCTTGTGCTATTTTATTTGCAATGTATGCTTTGTATGGTGTAGTTTCAAATAACTTATCACTTATTTTGCTTTAAAGGATCCTTATCTTTAGTGAAAGATGTATATTTCGTAAGAGAGCTGCCTACATTATTAAACGTCTCCAAGGGTGATTGTACCGAATTGACATGTTGCTTAGAAATTCTACCATTAACAGACAACAAGAATATCGATTCCGTTATCAGCAATACGAGTTCATTTAGTCGAACTGTTTCACCACAGTCATCAATGCCGCCTTTATCTCTGTCACCATTACTTAAAACGAATCAATGGGAACAGTTGTCGTTACAAATTAATTGGTTTTTAAACAACGAATTATTGGATATTGAGAAAGCTAAGAAACTTAACATTAATACAAATTTTGTCAATGGATTAGCTACTTTATCAATTGAAAATCTATCTCCAGCACATGAAGGCGATTATTGCTGTAAGGTGGAAAGTCCAAAAGGCATCATTCAAACACAAGGGAAGATTATACTTAGAAGTGAGTGGGATTTAATGTATTCTTAGCATATAATTACAGATATCATTACTTAAGAAACAAGTAAATTATTTTTATCAACGAGATATTATAAGTAAATATTTTCTCACTATTCTAATATATGATCAGCAGGGTTTCTTCTAGAAACCTGAAGATCTTATTCATACTATAAATGTCGTTTAGTAGTCTATTTGTGAATTAATTTTTGACAAATTAATTTAATTATCAACTTTAATTATTAAATATAATAAGACAGTGAGTTTTTCTTTGTAGGACCGTTTGTTTAAATTTGGTCGAATAGTAATTAAGATTTTTACAAATATAATCTAATCGCTTAAAGGGTTTGTATTCCGATTATTCTAAATTGCCTTTAACAGAGTATACAAACAAAATGAAAACTAAAATACGCGTTTTAGAAAGTTTCATAGGGATACTACCCCTAACTCAGGTCTCATATGGTCGAAAAATGAAAATTTCGGAAACGCGAAAAAATCATTGCCCGACATGAGACAAAGGGTAATAGAAGTGTTTGAGCCTATTTGCATCAAGCTAGGCTGCCTCTTCTACTATCCTACGCCATATATGTGTACACCATATGCTATACTGCTATATAGAGCTGAAGGTCTCATATGAGACTAGAGGTTCGCTGTGAATATTGTGGATGGCTTGGCTTTGCTTTTGTAAGCATTGTTAACAGTCCATATACAAAATTGGTTAGCAGGGTGACCGATTTCATTGATATAGATGGTTGTTTTGCAGCATTTCCGAGGGCCATTGTTATTGGGGTGCTGTATTACATATCACCATTGCTAATAATAATAAGTTTGACAGTCACGTTCGTGGGATGGGTCGAAATGGCCTGTTCATGCGGTGCATATTGGTTGGCGCGATCAGTGGTCGGAAATATATATACCATAGTGTGTATATCAAATGGTGTGAATGGTCCACCAGCGTATCAGGTACCTGTGTGGTTGCACCACAGGATTGAGCCGAACTGTCCATGTAGTAATGGTAAAACGTGTCCAGTCTCTTTGGTTCTCCTGAAAACTAATGTAAAATTGCCCTTGACAACACAGCGTAAATTTATATAATAAATTAAAAAAATAATAAAGTTTCATTCACAAGTCTAATTACATATTATGGTTTTCATTATTATAGATTTCATTAGTCTGTAGATATTGGCCGAAAAATTACAACACTGAGTTGTTTTTTGTAGAGAACCAATAATTTTTCATGGCTGTATGTTGTTGGAAAGAAATTGTTTCGCTTGAGACTAAATAGTGTGTCACACTAGTGTGACTACATTCCGTTCCTTCAATCAAAACTGAATTAGCGTAATTAAATTGTCTAATTACAAAGATATAAAATTGATAGTCAAACAGTCTAATTAGGTTTCCAAGAATGTTTATTTGGAACTAAACAAGTCGTCCTTGTGTATGGTGATTTAGTGAGTTTTGAAACCTGAAAGTAATAATATAAATGAAAGAAATGAAAAGTTCTTAGAGTCTTAACCTGAGTGTAACAGTTTTCACATTTTTTAAAACAGGCAAAACCGGTTGAGTTAGCCTAAATAAAAATGTCAAGTTACATTGTAAGTGAAGGACTATATTTTACAACAGTGCCTATGGAAAAATTTAATATCATTCGTAATGCTACTGTCATCCTCAAGTTAATTCTATATGACTGCTGCTACTGTAAAACTTTTGTTTGTTTTCAACTGTTTGAAATTTATCTCCACCTTTCTATTGCATCAATCATCAGTTAAATAGCAAATTATTCTTGTCATCATAGATTGGAGTGTGTACTACTATGTCATATCGGCAAGGTTTCTTCCAAGTAGTTCTGTTCTTGTTCCGAAACCTTGAACACAGCCTCCACTGCTGTTTCCTGCTATTCCACGGACATGAATTATATCTGTTATAAACACTGACGTAGTTTCTACCTCTAACACTGGTTCAAAATATCGTCTAATTTAGTCTTTTGGTGTTGTTTTATCTTTAATGTCATTACCAGACAATCTAACTGCTGCAACAAAGGTTTCGACACATTTCACATCAATTCTAAACAATACATGTGCAAAATATCAAAACCCGTGGCCAGCTATTGATTCCTCATCCCCATTCACAGCATTGTGTATCAATTTTGTTTAGATAAAATGAGTGGTTGTGGTTTCGCCATCTATACCACTTATGAATCATTCTAAATCTGGATATGCAAACATATATTCACTTTGAACTCCACTCTCTGTTCATAACACAATGGGTCCCCAGTCTCTTTTTCTTTGAGTGGGTTAAAGGTACGAATAGGTGTGAACCTGGAACAGAATGACCTTTCATTTTTAAACTGTAATATCAGTCACGCTCCTATGTCATTTACACATGACAATCTGTTCTTTCTGTCAGACAAAGGTCAGGTCGAAATATATGTGCACATAATGACTTGAGAAGAATAAATTGATTGATTTGTCCAAAATCTGGAATAAATCATCAAAGTTTAATATAAAAGTACACACTATAAGATCTTTCCCTTTTTTTTTTTGAATACAGAAAGTCAGCCATTAATGAGCAGTTAGAATTGAGTTCTTGTTTCAGATTCCAGTTTGATTAAAACTAAAACGTACATTCAATGTTCTTATCTTTGACTTTTTAAATAATTTGATATTAAGATTTATAATAACATTTTACGAATGCATGTGACTTAAATTAAGTATATATATACATAGGTTTATGATACACTAATTAAATGTTTTTTGGTATTTTTATAAATTAACATTTTATTTAAACCTGTAGTATTAAGATCGTCTTAATATTTTAATGATAGTAATTGTTGTAAAACTCAACTTCATTGTTCAATTTTTTACTTGTGATCTGTCAGTAAATTGAAAAGAAAATCCAGTTGATCAGGCTTATTCACATAGTGTAACTTAACTCTTAATGGGTTAGTAAAGAAAGAAGATATTTATGAATATTTTTTTTTCCTTTTGAAACTTTTTCATGATGGATATTATGCATTTATCATTTTTTAAAATTTTGTATTCTGTTTGAAAATTCTTCTCAGTTATTATGCAAACGTAAACGGAACTCGTCTCATAAGTAATAAATGATTGATGCATTGTGTTGGGTAAAGTATTTATGCAGTCAGAAAGTTTATTTTAGAATATTGGAACATTTCCATAATCCGTATGATTATTGACTTCATTATGACTGTCTTTCAAAATCCGGAGTAAAAATATTCATATATTAGGATACTACAGAATGATATACTTATCACTTACAGTGATTGTATTATCACCTTTCTGATTATTATTATTATTATTGTTATTATTATTATTATTAACAACGAAATGAATGTTCTGATAGCCTCATCATTTCAAACGAGGAATACTAAAGTAGTAGATCCGATAAATTGTTCATGATAAACCTAATTGAAAAGATAAACTAAATGAATCCAGATAGTAATAATAATATATGACATAGAAATAGATTTTGCTTATTTGAAGGAAATATATTCAATGGTTATGGTTTGACTACGAGTTAGTAACATGTTACTTAACAAATGAACATTTAATTAAAAATAGAAACCGTTTATCAAGCAATCGGGACGTTAGATCCCCAGAACGCACTTGATCTAGGCCTTAATTTTGGATTTTATTCATGGGCTGATCAGTTGACCTTGAGATCACATTTCCCACCAGGAAAATCCTTGGCTGTAATTGGATCCTGAGTTTCTTGTTTTTTTTTGTGGGGGGGTGGCTGCTGATAGGTTGAAAGTATCAAGCAAGGGAAAGATTTGCCCCTGATGATGGGCGATCTGGGGCTAGCCGTTTGCGTATCTGATCCCGATGGTGTGACCACCTCTCGCCTCCTGCCTCCACTTCGTACATAACACGACCAACTTTTCTGACCACTCGCGATTCCGTCCAAGGATATTCACCAAATATCCTAAGAGAACTATTTCTGTGAGTCTAATTCTATTGGTCAGTTCCTACTGGTCAATATTATGGTCGTCCTGTCTGTCAATGTCACTTCAAATGCTATTTCCTATTAGTCCTCCTAACTTTCAATGTCACAGACTTCAGTGTTGTTTCCTATTCGACTTAACTCTATAAATACGCAATATCTGTAACGGTTTATGACCCGAACCTGGACCCCGATCCCTGGTCCGGGATCCTGATTCTCTTCTGGATTCAGACAATCTTACTTTCTGGATGCTAGTAGAATACAGGTTCTACTTCATCTCAAGTCTTCTTCTTTTACTCAATGGGGGTTGGGACACTTGGATTTGAGTAGCATGTCGTCTCGCCGGATCGTTGATCCTCGCTCACTCTTTCCGATCAAGGTAAACTCGTAGTAGTTGAAACACATCAAGCTGACATGTTTAAGTGCGTGCGTAACGATGATGACTCAGAAATCTGCACACACACACGCACACCTGATTCAAGTAGTCATGATTTCTATTCATTCAGTTTGGTTTCCATATCGTACATATTCATTGACTAGGCATTTGCAAATTTATCAAAGGGAACCACTGTTTTGAATTTGCAATCAGAGATTTTATTCAATTGAATTTTATCACCATACAACAAAAATGTTGCTCATAACCATATATAAGTTTACTAGTACTTAGTTAATGTATGAGTTCGAATGTTAGTGAACTGTTTCGCATAAAAATAATCTACTTTATAGCTACTACATTGATTTACTAAAGCTATCCATTTTAAAAAAAGTTATGATATTTTTAAACTTTCATTGCTTAGGAGAGCCTACACCTTCCAAATTTACAAATGATGGGCCTAAAATCATTGGAGAAATTCTGAAATCTTCAAGTCCGATCACAACTAATCAATGTCTAACACTTACAGTAAATTATACATCCAACTCAATTCCAGAAATTGTGTGGTTTAAAAATGAACAGAAACTCGATATTAACAGCAGCCGCGTTAGAGTGAGTTTATTGTTCTATGAAATCTGACAATAATGTTCCCTGTTGTTCTTTTATGTCGAAAAGCACTAATTTTTTGTAAGTGGCTGAAAAGGTAACTGGCACCTGTTTATGATTTTTTACGAAAACTACATTCGTAGTCTGTACTCACGTACTTCTTGACACTAGAGAGGTAGTTAGATTTCGGTTTTTTGTACTCTATATGTCAAGTATCAACTCTACTAGCAAATTTTTGTTTGAAAACTCAATTAATAATGTTATTTCCTATCATGCTTTCTTCTGTGTAAATAATCGTTTTTAAAAAAAAAGTTAAACAATCGACACCCAAAGCAAATTGATAAAATTTTAAAGTTCGGGTTATTGTTCGTTAGTTTTTCTGAATATTTAGAAACATAACTGAATAATTTCAGAAATTAGAAAAAAATAATTCATGAAGTATTTGAAGATCATAACAAGGTAGAGAAAAAAAAGAACAAATTTAAAGTTTTCTGAAAACAGTGATTTCTTAGTCAAACTTTTCCCTAGTCAGACAGTTGCATTCCTCATGTTTTTAATTTGATTTTGAAATTTAAAGTTAAGTCCAAAGTAAATCACGTTTTATGTAGTTGTACTTACGCCAACCTCCTTATAGTCGGTCAGTCTGTAATTTTGTCAAATAAAGTCAATACCTTTGTGCTTTATATTATTCTGTCAGATTTGCATGTGTTCTATGCAATAAAATATTTGTGGATACATTTTTTTTTATCTCAAAGTTTAGAATCTTGCATTAATGCATAAATATATTAATCTTTTGTGATGCTGTATATTGTTCTCATGTTTTCTTTGTGCTTATTATGATTTACTCCGATCAAGACTCATTTAATTATATCTGATTACTTACTTGTTTGTTTATCTTTTTAGATGGATATGCAAAATGATCAATGCATTCTGACCATTTTCGATGCAAAACCTGAAGATACTGGTTATTATACTGTGAAATTAAGTGATTCTTCTGGTATTGTCCAAGAGACAATATTTGTTGAAGTAAAACAGAACAGTATGAACGAGATCGTTAGGTAAGCTGATGATATTTTTTCAAAATTTTTTTTCATGACAATCAGCAATTTGATATACAAGGTATATGATGTAAAAATCTTATGTCAGTTTGCCAACGGTATACATAAGATGATCATTTGTTGATAACTAATAATATTTTTTCCAGTGTTCCTGTGTCAATCAAGTTGTAATCGATCAAATCGGTATGTGTAAGCGATGCAGCATGTTTGATGTTAAATTAGCTGTAAAATTAGGAGTAACATTTCCTGTTTAAGACAATTAATGTAAGAAGTTTGAATCCTTAGTTGAAATTCTAGGATTTAGAATTGCAAGTCAGTCGATAGAATTCAAAGTTAAAATTTATCTAGAAAATGAAATCTGAAAAATTTCTATTGACTTTTGTTTAAATTGTGTATTGTCAAATCACACGGAATAATAACGTTTTCAAAATTATCTGAGAACTGAGCTACACATTTTATACAACGATTTTGGTTGTTACGGAGTTAAAGTCATTTGATTTGATGCACAGATTTATAGCTGTATTGTCTCATTTAAATAACTGTATTGCTGCGATTGTTTTTCAGCGATAAACGAATCCATACTTCACTTACTAATACTTTCTGCTATGTAACGTATCATTTCAATTTAACTGATAATGTATCCGAGATAACTCTATAGTTAGGCTTCGGTCAACTGCTTTCATAAATATTAATGCCACTGAACTGTTCGTGGTAATCTGAATTATGACTACAGTATTGTTAGAATTCATGTAATTATTTGAATAGTATAGTATACTCAACTAAACATTTTCTCACAGATAATTAAATCCTAGCCTAATCTATTTCGAACTGCTTAGTAAATGTATTTTACGAAATAAAACTTTTGATTTTTATGAACAAAATATCTAATCAAAATACTAGTACTATCAAATTACAATCTGCTGATCAAGAATAAACTTATCGATTACGTAGCAACTGATAATTTTCTTCTTTCTACAAACTATCCTACCAGTATCATATGAAAAAGTTTTTGATTTTTAGCATTACATTTAAAGCTTGTACGTAATGGTTTAATTTGAATTACTATTAGAAATTTTTTTCATTTCATTTGTTGTTTGAATTTCCTGTACAACCTTTTTTTTGATAAAATTTGTTTCCAGTCGATTAGCTTGTAATTTTCAATTTGATAAATAACGTATCCTTTACAACTACTATACTTCTATATAATAACACAAACCTCTTATATTTCCATAGAAGTAGCTTAGTTAATGTCCAGTTTATCGGTTGTTAGCAAAGTCCATAATTTATACGCTTGTAGTAATACAAGAATGAATTTGAAATACGTTAAGCTTGTACAGTGAGCATAATTAAGATGTTGAGTAGTGATCAAAACTTTAGTAACATTTCTACTGACTGTAAACCCATGTACTGTAATCCGAAACAGTGAATTCTATCACCGTTGTTCTCTGAAGAAACCTATATATTTGTACGCCAGTAAAGTCGATCATTATGAGAAATAAAAATTATAGTTTACTCTAATCAATCTGGTTTCCAGCCCGTTACCATTTTTATGTGGTCTTATTCAGGTAGTATCACTAGCCCTGACATTTACAATGTGGCTCAGTGCCAAGTATAAGACATGATGCTTGATAATAAGTTGATGATAATAATAGTAGTATTAATAATAGTAGTAATAATGATCCAATAATATCTTTTCTTTTCGCTCAAAATTACTTTCAGCATGAAAGAAGATGCTATAATCTCTAATGGTCCCATTCCTTATAAACCTGTATCAGTAGAATATAATAAAAATTTAGTTGGACAAAAATCTATTACTCAAACATCTGGAAGTTATTTGAAAGCAAAATCTATTATATATGGTCCATTAGACACAAAAGTGAATATTGGTGATACTGTACGCCTATTTTGTGTTATACGACAAATGCCAGAACCATATTTTGTTCATTGGACACATAATGGACAAATATTGAAAAATTCAGCACCAACAAATCAAACTACCAGTGTACAAACATGGGCAAATTATCCTAAGAATGGATTTTATATATTAGAATTGAAATCTGTTGGTTTACAAGATAAAGGATTTTATGGAGTGACTGTATCAAGAGTATTGGATATTTCAGGCAAAATAGTAAATGAAACAATTGAAGAAGCGGTTTGTTGGGTTGATATTGAAGGTAAGAGATTTTTATTTATTATTTATGGAATGGGATTTTTTTGTAAATTAAAATTTTAAGAAAGCACTACTATCAAAAATATTGAAATCATTTCCAAGTCAACAAACTTCATAAAAGTCTACTTCGATATCCCAACTATACAAGTTTAGTAAAGTATCATCTTTGGTTTCTTGTTCCGTCTGTGATATTTTAAAAACTTTTTCTGGACGGACAGGTATTAAAGCCTTAGGTTTTATGAGACGATTTTGTACGTCACCTTAATATCAAAAGCGTTTTTAGTTACTTACGAAGCTTATCATGAATTGTTAAAATGAATCATCTGAGAAAAAGTTTGTGTTTGTACAATGATTGCCAGATTCTTCACTTATTACACACATATTATACTCCCAGCTTCGGTAACCTAAAAATAACAACTTCTGCAGTTTTGCAGAGAAGCCGTGATCGGTGGAGTTCAACTATATTTAGCGTTGGATAGTTATCTACTACGGACACTGGGCTGCGTAATATTGTGAATTGGCCCAAGTTAGATATAAACACTGATGAATGTTGGCACAGTGATCTTGAGAACAGGCGATCTTAAGCGAGACCGAAGTTCTTGCGTTTGATTCATTGATAGTTAGAAGGATTTAGGTGGACGTCGGATGAGACGTAGTGGGTGCAAATTACTGAGGAGTCTTATACTAAGATAAAAAGGTTGTCCAGTGTTTCTAGGTTTCCCGTGATGATTTAGCTAAGATCAGATTTTGACTGAAGTTATGAAAATTCTACAATCTCCACAAATCCCCTTGTATTAAAAAAAACCCAGTAATTAAGTTAAATAATTAATCACAAATTATCTTATGCATGAGATGAAATTAATGAACTAGAACTTGGTAAACATTTCTGTCATTAAACAGTATAAAGTTGTAGAAATAAAAACTGAAATAATTTATGATCATGAAACTTTATAAGGCTAGTTTTATAAAAGGCATGATTTTTAAGGTTATTCAATTTGATATTGACCATAGTAGGAAATGATAGTGCACTGAATTTTATTGGATGATCAGTTTTGACTTCTTTCATTCAGATATCAATAACACCTCGTGTTTAAATTATTACTAGTTGAACTCTATTTGAAGATTCACAAATAATTTAATTCACTATTGAAAATTGGTCATTACATGTTTATTTTAGAGGTCATATGAACTAGATTGGTTACAATCAAATGCTGTAGAAGCATTCATCATCCAAATTAAGCAGTCATACCTTGACCTTATTTCCCAGAACATTATTCATAGGCTAAACTGATTTTGAAAACTTATCTAAGCTATTTTAACATTTTAAATACTGATTTCATGGTCACTGAAATTAACATATACTGCTACTGATAATTTCATTTGTAGATTTCCCTGTTCTACAGAATTATTAGGTCAGAAATTCTAATTTCAAGTCATTGAAATACCGCAAATATATCATTATATAGTTATGAGTATTTGTCTTATTTAAAATCTAAACCCAGCCTTATAATGAGGTGAAAAAAATGAACTGTTGGTTCAAGTATTTCATGTTCTTTCTTCAGTACTTTATTACTATTATTTCTACTGGGTGTACAGTGGTACATGTGCATTGATAGCGTATCTCCAATAAAACTAAAAAATGCATTCAGTTCCTTCTAGTTTTCAATAATTTTCCGAATTACATTAACTAATAGCAGGATTTCAAGAAATAACTAACATAACCTTATTTCGTTTTCACGTACATATGGTACATGTATGCAATTGTTATACTTTTTAACTGTTCAGTCACTAGTCACCTGTATTTTAAAACTGATTATTTTCATTGATATACGATAGTAAATCGATATTCATTCACAGTATTCGAACTAAGAATATTTTTGCTCGATTTTTTTTTCATAGCTACTCTTAAGATTGAATCAAATTAGGTGTTCTGTTTGTCCTTTGTTTGTCTGAAAAGCATTGAATTGTTTATCAATACGTATGACACTGTAGAATGTTTAGACTAATCTTTCTATGGAAATATACTGTCTGATGGAAGCATGCTAGGTTTTTGTATAATTCAACATAGTTTCTAATACAGCTAATGTGTAATTTTAAACAACGACTATTATTAATTCCTCAAAATGGTATGTGTTTGCTTGATTTTTCTAACAGGTCAGAAATCATTGGAAAAGAAAACTGCTCCAGCATTCATAGATGATGATGAATTTTCCCCGATGATGGAAGTGATAGCAGGTCAAGTAGTTCAGTTAAAATGTAAAGTAGTTGGTAATCCATTGCCTTCATACTTTTGGTTAAAAGATGGTGATATGATGTCATCAACCAAATTGAATTTTCAAGTAGGTGAAAGGTTTACCAATGTAATTGTACACAAAACACGATTATATATTTTCATTCTGTCTGAATAAAAAATATTCCCATTTTATTTAAGCACATTATTTATGTGCACGTAATTTTTAAATATTTCCAACTTTTACACTGTGCTAACGAATAACTATTGTAACGTAGAATATGTATTTGAAATATCAATCTACTTGAGTCATTCGGATATAACGAAGTCAAATGAGCAGTCATTAAATTCATATTTCTTGAAACTTTTTTACGCCATCATAACGAGAAATAATAGATTTCTTTCTTATTACACTGTTTAAATTTCTTCCCGTCGTACTTGGAAGATATTTGATACCATTTTGATTTTGTAGCTGCTGTATACTGGCGGAATCATTATGTTATTAACGTTTAATAAAAGCCGTTTCCATTGCCGCTCAATAATAACACATTCTAAAGTTTCTTTTAATTTCAGTAGAAGTGAACAATACACGAATATCATCATGTTAAGATTCTTTTGGAAAATCCTCAATTTTTAAGTCTACTACCATATATGCCTGATTACATTATAGTTTATGATGTGAATCATGCATTCAACTTCTCTGTATTGTTTTAATTTTCTTGAGATCAGACTTTATTCACAAAATTTACCTCATTTAAACTAAATGACATTTGTAGAATATAGTATCACTTAATTTTGACCATTATTCTCCTTTTTTTTTACTTTCAAGATATCTCAATCAAATGGTACGTACAAGCTAACTCTACCAGATGTGAATAAACAACATTCTGGTATATGGGATTTAGTTAGTTATAACTCACAAGGTTTAATTATCAAATCATGTCATTTGTTTATCAGTGATTTATCAAATGGTTATCTGAATTCTAACAATAATGCAACCAAAACCAATGAAACAATAATTAATATAAAATCTTCATCTAACCAATTCCAAGTCAATAATCAGTCAATTAATAAAGAAGAAATTATTGCTGAACAAAATACTAATAAATATTTTGAAAATCAATCGAATTTGTCAGAAAATAAAGTTATTTCTGTACAAAATTCAAAATTAGAACCGCCTGAATTTGATATTACGTTTACTGATAAAGTTGCGCGTACAGGAGAGACAGTCTGCTTAAAATGTTCATTGAAAGGATACCCAAAACCTGTGGTAAGTTCATCGGTTTATTATTGGTGTGATTTCCTATTTCACTTAAGTTTCAAAATTTATTTGTTCTACTCTGAAATCGTTTATAGGGTGCTGTTGTTGATATTTTGTCTGAAATTAGTCCAATCTTTGTTTAAAGACCTTTTCTATATTTTGTCTCAATGTTTAACTTCTTCTGTATTCTGCACTATTACTTATTGACGCATTGGGTTATGCTGGAACAATTGATTAACTCATATGGCTCAGCAATATATGTGAGGATAGATGGACTTCAAGAATTATGTCACTTAAAGTAGCATAACTTATGACATAGAATAGCCAATTGTTGATCATCGTGTATATTATTATCATCATTGAAAAGTCACTTCATCTCATGATTCAAATGTTGGCTGTAAAGTGTTTTACACTGAGGTAGACAAGTGTATAGTTCAATTTTCGGGCAGCATATTTCACAGAATTTGAAGAATATATATAAGAATATATATAATATATCATCTCCAATAATATATTTTGTTTATGTACTATTTGAGGCATTTATATTAACTTACTAAATAATAAATGAAGCAAACGTTCATCATAATGCCACATCTTTTCAATAAAACTAATTACTGATTTTCAGCAAGTCATTTGAAGTGACTTTTTCGTTCGTTTATTTCACTAGGTGCGCAAGATATATATATGTCGATATAAGAGAAAATAATAATCTCTTACAACAGGGAATCAAATTTCTACTATTTTTAGCGTTCATTTTTTTCTTAAAATTCTAATGTAAATCGCCAAACTTCTGTATGCACTAAATTTAACAATGTATAGATGCTTATTAAAACAGTTTCAAACAAATTATGAACCTAAAAGGAACTCATGGTAAATCCAGTATAGGTTGAATCAGATATATTTGTAACAACGTTGGATAAAACTAATGAGATAGTTTAATTTTATGAAACGTGATCTATGTTGAAATGATCAATATTTATAATAAGAATAATTATTCGTTATATAGAATAGGAGATCATGAATCAATTATTGTCAGTCCACCACTAGAAACCTGGAAGCATTGGACGGCTGTTTCATCCTAGTATGGATGCGCACTGCTGAACAGTCTCATACTAGGACGAAACGTTCGTTCATGGCTTTCAGGTTTCTAATGGTGGTCTAGCAATGATTAATTCATGATCCCAATTCAACATATCAGTGTCCAGATCTCTATAATGAATGGCGTATGATATAGTCGCTGGTGACTTGCTTCGTGAGGAAATTCTCGGAATTCTAGTGAAAAGCCGTGACCAGTGGAGTTCATTCCTGTTGTTTGTAGGCGGTAACTACCGAAGACAACGGGTGAGGTTGCTCCTAATCCGAGATTTATTACAGATATTAACTCCTTTAGATGCCGGCTCACTGGTCCAGAGGTTAAGTGTTCACGCGCATTATTTTAGTACTGAAAATTGCGTAACAAGTTTAGTAGCAAACAGTAAAAATATGATAATGTTTTCTTAATTTTCAACAATTATCGATAACTATGTACAGTTATATGTAAGTATAAAGTATGCATTGTGATATGTTTCGTTTGAATGACTAAAGCTTACAAAATAAGGAAGACATAAACTACCCTGAAAATGCTTATTCCTACTTCTCGAATTCACATACAAACTTATAAAAGCAACCTGACCTACAGAATGTTAGAGATTTTTCAAGTTTTAATAATATATTGGCTACAATTACTTTGCTACCAAAAGTGTTGTTGAGTCTTTCATCAGCTAACTATAGATTTAAAAAAATATTCACATTTGTAATGAAAAATTCTCAGCAAAACCATCTAGTTTATCGACCATTCAACACATCCAATCTACATATACACAACTCATTTGCATAATAAAATCTGTTTATGAATTAAATATTTATAACAGTTACCTAAGATGTACATACTTCATTAAAATTATTGATCCTCATGTTATTTTTTAAAAGTTCGTCATGTTTTGTTCTAATTTTTCAATTGTTTTTTTTTCAAGGTTCAATGGCGTTTTAACGGAAAAGTACTTAATTTACCGACTGAAAGAATGTTCATGATTGAAAATGAAAATGAATACACACTATTCATCTATAATACATGTGAAAATGATACTGGACGATATGAAATTACAGCCGATAATGTTATAGGAAAAGCAACTTGTTCAGCTCTTTTGATTATAAACAGTATAGTGAAATCTCGGTAAATGAATCTTTAGATTATTCTCTTTGCTTATGTGTCTATGTATAATTAGCATACAACTAATGAATTATAAATTTGTCTTTGGAATTATTAATTACTTACTCCTAATGTGAGGCATTTTCCACAGATCCGTGGAATAGAGTACTTTCTCAATTTCTTGATTTAAAAACTGATCTGGAGCTATCCGTATATTATACAGTCGTTGTTTGAAGGGCTATTTTATTCATTATTACCTAAATGTCAGATGCATTTCTCTGACGTGTTTCGAAACCCAAGTTCGATTACCAGTCATCATGACGGACTGTGTTCGAAAAGTTTGTAAACCATGGATTAATAACTTTCAGGAATTAGTACACTTCTGATGAATGCATTTGTATCTAGATTCGTGGTTAATTATCGGTAAATTTAGAATTATCAATTTTGGTGAAGTTTCTTTCTGCAAGCCGGATGGCTTCGTCATGAAGCGTTTACTATCCATCTGAATAGCATCATCGGTACAAACTGTAGTGAAGAATGAAGTATTCGTATTTCTCCATATGTGACTCGGGTTGTCCTATGGACCTCGATCTTGATTGGTTATTGTTGACCCTTGACCTACTGTTATCAGCTTCTTTAGCTTGATTATATCTCCTTTTGTTGTGATCTTTGGTCTGATTTGTTTTTAAGTGTTTGTTGATTGCTGTTTGACACATATACCAAGCTTCCCCAAATCTCATGCCGTTCTTAACACTATTGCTATCCAAAATTTCACCATTTTTCCAAACGTATGTCCACATGTATTAATATAAGGGAAGGTATGTCATAGCATTTGATAGCTAAATTATGCCCATGTAAGTGGAGATGAAGTGAGCGTCTATTTTGTCTAATGTAGTGTTACTTACAGTTACGATAGTCTGTTTTGTGGAAGACGTTCACTTTTACTCCTTGAGTCATTTCAACTTTTGGTTTGCATAAGGTTGACTGAAGTGATGTTGTTAGTTTATAAGCTGCATCTCTTCCAAATGGCTTCAATTATCTGATTGTAATTTGTGATATGTGTTCTATACATAGTAGGGCGATTCTTTCGTTAGTTTTAATATAAAGGTCTACAAAGACCAATCAAGATCGAGGTCAATGGGTCATGCTGAGTCATATATAAAGAAATTCAAATACTTCAATCTTACCGACAATTTGTACTGGTGACACTGTTTAGAAGAAAATGAAGACTCCTAATAATAATGATAGTATTATTAATAACGGCATTATTTAATGTTATATGTTTAGTACAATAAGGAATTCCCAGCATGAAATATTTTTAAAAATTTCCACAACAAAACAATTAGTGATTGGCAGTTGGAAGTAAGAAGCTCAAGAAATGACATCTTATGAACATTCATTCATATCGCAGCAGATTGTCAGCCATTGCAGTGTCTCGGAATGAAAGTTTTTTGTACCTTGTGGACATTTTATATTCTGTCTTAAATAGATAATTGACGCTTTAAAACAAAAAGAAAGAGATAACTACTGAACTAATTCAATGTTAGGAAAAAAGTAGTTCAAATATTCGAGCGGGCTGCCAATCAAACCATCCAACTCAGAGAACGAGATTGCACCATCTACAGAGCTGAAAAGGTTCCCCCCCCCCATCATTACGATTTCCGCAGTGTGAGATTATTGTATTTGAAGTTCCGTACTTGATCTATTAAGTTTATCACACGAACTTTGTTAGTTATGCAAACTATCATTCTGGTAACTCGTTTTGTTTTACCTGAATATGTTATAATCAAAACACTAATCAAATCTATAAATTTTGGTTTCATATAGGCATATTAGCCCAGCTAGTGAACCAGAATATACCACAACACAAACAGAGAAATCAAAAATCCATCGTAACAAATCTTTGGAATATTGTAATTCAGTAACACAAACACCTGATAAAAAACGATCTTCTCTTATTCGTTCAGTCAGTGCTCCACTAGACTTGGAGTGTAATGGTTGCTGTAGCAAAGTATCTTTAAGATGTCATGCTTGTTATGCACCTTTAATTCAAGAATATGAAGATGCTCAAGTGAAATATTCGAAGCCGAAATCGGAATATTTAACATCTAACTATAGTGGAGTAAGTCTTATTGTTGTTATTATTATTACACGTTTTACGATGTTTTCTTATATCCAAACGTGAACATTTATCAGGACAATCTATGTACTGAATTAAAAGAGATCCACTCGGAGCATGCTTGTTCAATGATTGCGAATGTTAATATAACAATGTTACCAAGTTGATCGGCTGACAGAATTACAGACCTTTTAAATCTTCTTTACCACATTTGTTTATGCACGACGACTTGGATTTAATTTAGTCTTTTTCCAGTGCAATGTCTTGTTGTTTTTGAAATATGGTTGGGAATATTCAGTGATATGCTAAATATTGAATTTTTTTATTGAACTTGATTGTATGATTATAAATATATTCATATGTATTATTTCTCAATCAATTTCTTCATTTCTGGTTTCGCCAGAAAATTAGTTTGTTCAGTATTGTTTCTCATGTTTATATGATGTGAGAACTATATATTTCAACAAAACATGATGTATGCAGTGTACTTCATTGTTTCGTTTTCCAGATATAAACAAGCTAATAGGTTTTATTATTTTCAATTATTGAAAAATATTTAGGCATATGAAGAAGTGAATTGTTCCGCAGTAAGTAAGAGAAAATACATTTTCACTTACTATTATTTGATGAATCAACTTCAGTTTTTAAAAAAGTAAATAGCCCTTATTGACAATGTATCACCAGCACCTTGGTTGTTGTGTTATTTAACACGTTATCCAAATAACGTACAACTTAATATCTTAATCGTTGATTTGAGAAAAATTTCAGCTAAATTATTAAATTAAATCTGCCGTTCATCAGTGTTTAACACTTTGTTTTTTCAGAAAATTATTCATATCTTATCTTATTTTGATTACAGACTTATTCACGATCAAAACCGTGGACTGTTAGACGGCATAAATGTTCCAGTGGTATATCACGACGATTGACTGGATCTGGTTTACAAACTAGGTAATCAAGTGTTTTTCTTTTTCTGACAAATAAGTTTTCATTCATCTCATATAAACGTAACTGTAAGCTAGATCAAACGGATAAACTTTAAAGCCCTTTTGTCTTTTCCAACCTATTACGTGATTATTTTACTGACGTCAATACAGTATGCATATTAAAACTTTAGGCTGAAGTTGGATTTGTTACTCACTTGTGAATACGATGTTAGTTGATTAAATTTATAAGGTCTGTTGATTTATTTTTAGTCGGTTTTTAAAGACTCATAAAGCTTTGATTGTGATTAAAATTTATCGTAATTAGTATTCCACAACCAAATCCATGCCTTTTGTGGTGTGTGTATATAATATATTTGAAATGAATTCACTTCAGTGATCCTAGCAATGATTTCAGCTAATTTCCTGTCCTAATTCGCAATATCTGATAGTTTTAATGTTATTAACTTTGATAATGATGTTCAATATACCAGAGCAATGGTTTGATGTTTCTTCCCAAGATATCTACTAGATATTTTTAATCATATTTCTCTTCTTTTTTTCCTTTGTCTTAGACTATCACGACATCGAAGTGAAGGTTCCCTATTGCATCAATGTCCCTATTGCGACACTCTGATGTTGCCAGTAAATCCACCGAATTTAGGAAAATCAAAAAATAATAAAACTGGACGAATTTTAAGTTTTCCTGGTGAATATGATCAACCAATCGAATCAAATTTATCACAAGTCGAAGGAGAAGATATTTATTATTATCAACCAAATTATAAACAAATTATTGTTTCACATAAAACTACACGTACAAAACATATGAATATCACGAAAACATCTGAATCCCATTTGCCTATATCAACTTTACGTGAAAGTAGATCATTACCCCCATCCGATGTACTTCATAAGTCCACTAGTAAACTTCGTGAAATACCAATCACCATTCAACGTGATCAATCCTATAATCAAATGAACAAATCACATTATCAAACAGTTCCATGTAAAACCAATCCAACCGCAAAGAATAATTCTCAATCAGAAGGAACAGTTAGTATTGTAGAAAGTTCAGATAATGATTCGGCAGTTTTCTAAGGATTGGATCAATTAGAGACATTGTTTCAAGTATCAATTCTATTATTTACTCCTTTGACATTACTGTTGTTATATATATTTCAATTGTTATTTTCTATTCCGTTTTTTTTTCTGTTACGTTTTGTTTTAATCAATTCATTTATGCTTATTCTTTGAATTCCATTAACCCTTGTACATCGAAACGCTTCAACTTTTGTAATATGTTAATCATTCTCATTACAAAAATATGTATACTGAACTATTGCGACATTCATATCTGTATTACTTGACAGTTTGTAAACGTACAAATAATCAAATAATCCATTTGTATACTCTTATTAGTGGATTTTTTACTTTTGATAATAACAATTGTATTTTATCTAATCACAATAAAATAGAATCATGTTTACGATCTGAAATTTTTAAAACAAATCGCTTGTTTAAATGAACAAAATGCCCTTCTTTTTTAATGTTCTATACTACTGTTGGTGCTTTTTTTTTCTATGATGTGAACTCCATAACAATGAATCAATGTCCTATATACGAGTTGTTTTCGTTTTAGAATTCTGATTATTACAAAAAAACAAATAAATATAGGGCGAAATTTGATGCAGAATATTTTCTCACTGGTTAATCCCTAGTGGACATTACATAGCATTGAACTGATACTGAGATTGTGCTTCAATCGTTGTATATCGATTAAAAGTCTACTGTAATGAGAAATGGCAGTTACTTTGTATGATAGTCAAATTAACTTTAATCAATGTTTAGTGTTTAAGGTCAACATGTAGACTTTCTGTAATCATGTTTAACATAAAGTAGGGGTATATCATGATTAACGATAGAAATAGATTTATTATGTATTATTGATTCATTACTAAGTAATGAATAGTGCCATATCTATTGGATCCTTAATACTGATTGACTTCTATTGATCAAGTTCCTGTGTGGTCAGAAATCTAAGTAACTTAACACGTACTGCACTGATTTAGATTCGAATTCACCAAAGAACATCAGTTCCGTCAAGATTTCAGCAACACTTTGTTGATGAGTATCATACTACACGAAACGTAAGTCAGGGGTTTTCTGTTGAGCTCTTTCGACTACTTAACACATTTTATTTATTATGAGAAAAGTATTTCTATATCTTTGAATGTGTCTTGAATGTAAAAGAACAAATTCAGCAGATAAATTTCTTTTCTATAAGTTTTTCATCATAGATCAATATGTTTTGAGATAGGGATAGTTTTTAGTTTCACATTCACAACCATAAATCGATCAATGTTAGACCACCAATAGAAACCTGGAAGCACTGGACAGCGGTTTCGTCCTGGTATGGGACTCATCAGCAGTGCGCATCCACAAATGACACAGATTCCTACAAACAATTGAATATCGAATAGCTGTATTTCTTTGTGAAACAGCTTGGAAAAGAGTAAATTGTTCTTTTGAAGACAATTTTAATCAACAACATTCATTTTTATTGGTCTTTTCGTTAGTGTTATTAAAAGAGTGAAAATTTCTTTCTCTCTTTTTTATGTTTCAAATAAGTATTTTTTGTGTTAGTCTACGCCCTTCTTTAAATGAACAGTCAAATAACTTTCCAGAATAAATTTGATTTTTTCCGACAGACTATATAATATCAGTTTGATTGATAATCAGTTTTTATAACTTAAATAAAAAATTAGAAAGTACCTGTTAGAATATAATTTCTTTTTGATCTATCAACCTTTCGAGAAAACAAAAATTAGTATTTTTATTCCATAAACTAGTGAACTTATATTATTATACCATTGCTTTGCTGTAATTGATTTCGCATGAAGATTTTGTCAACTTAGATGTTTATACTAAAAAGAATTCGAATCACTTAATTATTTATCATGCAAATTTCATGTTATAGAGAACGTGTAACTTGTCAGGTTAATCTTAAACAATCGTTAACTAAAAAAATATTTACTTTGGAACTAAAATCGTGAGAATCATGTTAGAATTTATACATAATTCATGTCGTTACATTGTTTTCACCGCTTCCATGAATGTCACTGAAATCGACAAAATGTGTGTACAGCTATTTCTTTATTTGTTGTGTCCAAATGGCTACCTCTAGTCGAGTCATCTACATAATTTTACTAATCATAATTACTATTTTTTTTCCTCATTATGATCACCGATTTGTTATACAGCGAAATTTCTACGCAGATTGAAATATTTCATTACATATATCGATTAAATGTTATAGGAAAATTTTAAATAAATTTATCAGATCCCTCAATTAATTTCAAATAATTCGAGAACGTAAGAACGCAATGAATGTATTGTTTTTAATAATAGACAAAAAACAGAATAAATTCAATAAACTGTAATATGTTAGCTTTAGAGTAATTTCAGTCACAATAAACGTAATCAAACAAAATTTTGTAGACTTTAAAATCAAATTATGTGTTACTTTGAAAATAGTGTTTCTCAATCTCATTGTTTGATGTTTGCCGATTACACGTCATGGACAAAGATGAATGCTTTATGAGAAAATATTCAATATACACGACTTGTAAAAATGTTCTGTAAAATTGTTTTCGTTAGTTTATTCGGTATTAGGTGGAAAATTGTTGGTGTTACATTTATACCGTGGACCATAATTTCTTGATTGGGAATGAAATTTTGGTGTTGGTCTTGCGCAACTTAGATATGTTGGCAAGACAGGTTTGCATCTATTAGATTCTTTAAGATGGTAAAAGTGTACGATTTCAGCAATATATATATATATATATATATATATATATATTTAATTGCTGATTGACTTATTTTCATAAACAAGGAACTAATCCTTGCTCAGCTTTGGACGACACTTTTCATAACTCGAGTTCTGACTCCGATTCACATAAACAAACGAATATGCTATGAATACCAATCTTTTACTTAACTTCGTATATTACACATTCAGGTAATGAGTTAGCTTACAAAATTCATTTCTTCAGAATTAGTCCAATTAACCGGTTATATCTAAGATCCGTATTTTATTTCATACGTATAAATACATAACAAATATTTTGTGATATTGTTTTCGTGGTATAAAAGCACACAATTCAGTTTCGTAAATCCAAAGAGAAGTTCTACTTATTTTGATGGAACAGTGAGAAGACGTAGTTAATCTGAAAAATGCTATGTATTTGCGCCATACATCTGGTCACACATATCTTTGTCAAGGTATTTTTTATCAAGGTCAGTTAAATAAAAGTTCAAATAAACAGAATATGATAATTTTAAATAAAGAAGAGAGAAAACTGACGTAATATAGAAAGAATAGTAAATTATCTTATTATCCTAGGCCACATAATGACTTAAATATTACCAGAATAAATTCAAGATTATAGAAAATTGTTTTTGTACACAATAAGGGGTTTGAATTTACGAATAGCCAAGACTTTCACAAACCTCAGGATTCGTCTATGAACGTTTCTGTACAAATGTTTTTAAAAGTTGTCTTGATGCCAATCCTATGCTCCGTATCAGTTATGTGTTTTGCTATCAATAAACATGGTTTTCTATTTCCCACATTTATTGGGCCAACTGACGGTAACTGATTTTGAAGCCACTTGGGCATATGTTCCATAATCTATGATTGAAATGCTCGATTATTCCTTCCTATGCATGTGCGTCCGCACAAATATGTAAATTAACAAATGCAGTTGAATGTGATTTGATCGTCTGAGCAAAATGTTTATGCCTATGTGGAATCATGGGCTTAGTCCTATTAATTACAACCCGTTTAGTAGCATAATATGTTTTCTCTATGTCTTGTTGTAGTCTCTTTCTCGGGATTACACCATTTGATTCATATTTAAATGGTAAAGAGATATAAACACTTTTCTTTTCCATAGAATAGAAAAGAGGCTTTTGTCCTTACTGATTTTTACACCTATTTGTAAACTTTAGTTTGAAGTCGTTTGAAATCAGTGTTTCAGTCAAGAGTTTCACATCGTCTTCAAATGTATCTATAGCACGTATTCTTTTTGCCCTGTTGAAGACTCATTTTACCAAGCCTAGCTTGTGCTACAATGGAAAAAGCCAGTGGAAATTTAAAGATTGTTCAGTCCAGGTTGGTTTCCTATAAACTGACCGTTTTAATAGTTCCATCCTGCCATTCGACTCAACAGCATGACTAAAAAGAACAATCCATCATTATCTTATTCTTCATAGGTCAGTGTAATATAATTCTGAATACTATTGAAAAAGCCTAGTAACTGTGAAACATTGAAATCTTTATCGCAGATAACTAATATATCATCCATAAATCTCTAATACACAGTAACCTCACTGATCAGCCCACTCAATGTGTTTATTTGAACTTTTATTCGATTGACCTTTTGATTAATTTTCATATAAAATGCAGTGACAAGTATGTGTGCCCAAACTGTTCGAAATACATTACACTTTTCAGATGAACTACATTTTCTCATTGTTCTATGAAAATTCTAATTAGTGTTATGATGTCGTTTTATTTTATACAAATTATATCGTAAGAAGATAAATTGAAAACGGATCATTTTATTAGTTTTCGTAACTTCGCACTATGATATTTGTTTTCGACGTCAATCGACTCCATTTGTAATAAATCTGGAATAAATAAATCACATTTCAACTTCGTATATATATTAGTTTAGTCAAGTTGTGTAACTGCGTTTTTCTAATAACTGAGTCTGAGAATTAAGTAAGAGTGTATTAAGAACTTCATGTTAACTTCATGCTGATTTCGTACGCTACATGTAAGACGAGATATGTTTATTATTCGAATGAGTGTTGTGTCTTAAACAAGATCGGAGATCAAAAAGCTTGCGTAGGTGTGAGTCTTAAATAGACAAATAATTAATAGCTTAGTTGAGAATAATCGGTGTGAATCTGCCTCGTGAATAATAAATAATATCAATTATTTACCCAGTACCTTCATTTATTTTAGTTCAGTTAACCGATAACATCAACAATGAAATAAAATCACACGAGTAGCAACATTTATCTCATCTTTTATTGTTAACAACATATGGCAATACCTTTCATGTGAGAAAA